ACGGAAGACTGAAAAGACCTTAGATAAAATAACATAAGTATATTTTGATTTGATTATATTTTCTTCTGCATTCGTGTAATCATACAGTTTTTCGATAACAATAATAATATAAAGTACAATAAGTATTTTTCTGACAATGAATCATAAATTAGCAAATACATATATATATATATATATATATATATATATATATATATAAAATGTCATAAATACTAAGTTTCCTCAAACATTATAAAACATGATACAATTATTTGCGGAAGAAGGACTGTCATTATAAGCAGATTGCTTGATAATACGACAGCCCCCGACAAAAACTCATGAATATATTAACACATATTAAGCAGATACGGATAGGTAATTGAAAATACAAATTTCGATGATGGTGATATTGACAATGCAGATGAGGATGATGATGATGATGAAGACGATGATGATGATGATGATGATAATGATTCGAATGAAAGAAGAGATGACATGATAAACAATGAATAGTTGACACAGAAATTCTACCTTGAGTATTCTGATAATAACATCGTTTTAACTTTGGCCTTAAATGAGTAGAGTGAGCAGGCCCGTAGCCACTGGGGGGGGGGGGGGGGGGCACGTGCCCCCCCCCAAAAAAATTGAAATTGTTTAGACCCCTCCCAGAACGTCGATCAATTATATGTGTCCCCCCCCCCTAAACATCAAACTCTGGCTACGGCCCTGAGAGGGAGCAACATGATTTAATCGATTCTGGGAGAAAGTTCCATAGGTCAGGACCATGGTGTCTTATGGATTTATTTCGGGTATACTAGATGAAAATTTGAGGAATTACGAGTAGGGTAAGAGTGAATAGCTTTATTCATAGTGTAAAAGTTTTGAAATGAAAGAGGGAGCATATTTTTTAAATACTTAAACATGATCAGTAAACATTGTAGCGAATTTATGTCGAATACTGTAAGGGTTTTCAGTTTGTAAAATATTGGACTTGTGTGCGATAAATAATCGTGAACCAGTACATAATACGAAGGGCTTTATTTTGCAATAAATAAATAGAGTTGATTTTGATTTTGGCGCTGGTGGCCAATACTAAATTGCAATATGTTATATACTGTAATATCAATGAATTATAAAGCATAACAAGCGGATAACATGGGATTAATTTCTTCTTTCAAAATCGTTTCAAAATTACAGTAAGTTCATTGGCTGCATGTATCTCTTTCAAAAAGTGTTTGAACTAACTATAACAATCCCATTTTTGTCTTGATGTCTTGATTTGAAATGTCTTGATTTGTAACTGTCCCTTATTACCTACGCATGTTGGTAATGAGAGACCTTTGATGATGACGTCATAAATTATTTTTATCTTATTAATCAGTTACATCATGACCACAATTTTGTTTCCCAATAAAGAGAAGAAGTTACTAAAGAGAAAACAAAACTTTCTGTATGTGTAACATTTTTCATGTTTATGTAAATTATGGAAATGTGCTTAAGGGTCTCCAATTCCCCACACCTACCCTAGTACTAGAGATTAAATAGGGCACTTACGAGAATGGAAAATGGACACTTATTGCAATGGAAAATGGGAACTTGTCGAAGGAAAAGGGGCACGTTTCAAAATAAAAGGGGCACTTATCAGAGTAAAAGGAGCACTATTCCTATGTAAAAAGGGGCACTTTTCGGGTGCTTGAAAAAGTGGGGGAAGGGGCACTGTGCCCCTACTCCCCCCCCCCCAGGAGTGCGGCCTCTGCTGGGGAGTATTCCTACCAGTATGGTCACCGTGAAGGCATAGGCATATCTAACACAAACTAAAACGGTAAAGAGTTAATATTCCAGTTTATAGACTATGTACATGGCGCTATATAGGGTGGTGAAAAGTTAGCGTAGGGTGGTGAAAAATTAAGAGTGCAGTTTATCCATAGACAATGTACATTGCGCTGTAGGGTGGTGAAAAGTTAGCGTAGGGTGTTGAAGAGTTAATATTCCACTTTATCCATAGACAATGTACATGACGCTAGGGCGGTGAAAAGTTAGCGTAGGGTGGTGAAAAGTTAATATTCCAGTTTATCCATAGACAATGTACATGACGCTAGGGTGGTGAAAAGTTAGCGTAGGGTGGTGAAGAGTTAATATTCCATTTTATCCATAGACAATGTACATAACTGAAGGGTGGTGAAAACTTAGCGTAGGGTGGTGAAGAGTTAATATTCCAGCTTATCCATAGACAATGTACATGACGCTAGGGTGGTGAAAAGATAGCGTAGGGTGGTGAAGAGTTAATATTACCATTTATCCATAGACAATGTACATGGCGCTAGGGTGGTGAAAAGTTAGCGTAGGGTGGTGAAGAATTAATATTCCAGCTTATCCATAGACAATGTACATGACGCTAGGGTGGTGAAAAGATAGCGTAGGGTGGTGAAGAGTTAATATTCCAGTTTATCCATAGACAATGTACATGACGCTAGGGTGGTGAAAAGTTAGCGTAGGGTGGTGAAGAGTTAATATTCCATTTTATCCATAGACAATGTACATGACGCTAGGGTGGTGAAAAGTTAGCGTAGGGTGGTGAAGAGTTAATATTCCATTTTATCCATAGACAATGTACATAACTGAAGGGTGGTGAAAAGTTAGCGTAGGGTGGTGAAGAGTTAATATTCCAGCTTATCCATAGACAATGTACATGACGCTAGGGTGGTGAAAAGATAGCGTAGGGTGGTGAAGAGTTAATATTACCATTTATCCATAGACAATGTACATGGCGCTAGGGTGGTGAAAAGTTATCGTAGGGTGGTGAAGAATTAATATTCCAGCTTATCCATAGACAATGTACATGACGCTAGGGTGGTGAAAAGTTAGCGTAGGGTGGTGAAGAGTTAATATTACCATTTATCCATAGACAATGTACATGGCGCTAGGGTGGTGAAAAGTTAGCGTAGGGTGGTGAAGAATTAATATTCCAGCTTATCCATAGACAATGTACATGACGCTAGGGTGGTGAAAAGATAGCGTAGGGTGGTGAAGAGTTAATATTACCATTTATCCATAGACAATGTACATGGCGCTAGGGTGGTGAAAAGTTAGCGTAGGGTGGTGAAGAATTAATATTCCAGCTTATCCATAGACAATGTACATGACGCTAGGGTGGTGAAAAGTTAGCGTAGGGTGGTGAAGAGTTAATATTCCAGCTTATCCATAGACAATGTACATAACGGAAGGGTGGTGAAAAGTTAGCGTAGGGTGGTGAAGAGTTAATATTACCATTTATCCATAGACAATGTACATGGCGCTAGGGTGGTGAAAAGTTAGCGTAGGGTGGTGAAGAATTAATATTCCAGTTTATCCATAGACAATGTACATGACGCTAGGGTGGTGAAAAGTTAGCGTAGGGTGGTGAAGAGTTAATATTCCATTTTATCCATAGACAATGTACATGACGCTAGGGTGGTGAAAAGTTAGCGTAGGGTGGTCGGAAGAGTTAATATTCCAGCTTATCCATAGACAATGTACATAACGGAAGGGTGGTGAAAAGTTAGCGTAGGGTGGTGAAAAATTAATATTTCACCTTATCCATAGACAATGTACATGGCGCTAGGGTGGTGAAGAATTAATATTCCAGTTTATCCATATACACTGTACATAACTGAAGGGTGGTGAAAACTTAGCGTAGGGTGGTGAAGAGTTAATATTCCAGCTTATCCATAGACAATGTACATAACGGAAGGGTGGTGAAAAGTTAGCGTAGGGTGGTGAAGAGTTAATATTACCATTTATCCATAGACAATGTACATGGCGCTAGGGTGGTGAAAAGTTAGCGTAGGGTGGTGAAGAATTAATATTCCAGTTTATCCATAGACACTGTACATGACGCTAGGTTGGTGAAAAGTTAGCGTAGGGTTGTGAAGAATAAATATTCCACTTTATCCATCGACAATGTACATGACTCTGATGTGGTAAAGAGTTGAGATTTAAAAAAATATATCCATAGAAAATATGTACATGACGGTGACATAATGGTGAATAGTTTCTGTGATTTGGTATTTAAAGAGTCAATGCCCCTTTTCCCAGAGAAGGCATATTTATTTATTTATTTATTTATGCATGCATGCATGTTCACAATTTCACAATTCATTGAAGTTAACATCACAATGAAAAATGAATATAAAATAATATAACAAATCATTTCAATTTTACAATCCATTTGAATTGACTTCACATGAAAAAGAATATAACAATGATTTATCATAGACACGTTGCAACTAATATACAGTTTGAAGAAAGAACACACAAAGGTACGTGATGAAACATAAGCAAATAGAGCTTGAATCGTGTACCACCTTTCAAATATATAACATATGACAAATAAAATTCATGCATGACTTTTAATTATGGTGCGGGGATATATTGCAATTCAAAAGAAGATAATAACTTTTTAATTTCTAACATACATGAGGTGAGGTCTTAGTATAATTCTTTGATTTGCCCCTAAGTACTGCGCTTTACCCCCCCCCCCCCCCTCCATCATCTACTCTCAATTTATATCCGGCCACCATGCCTATTTTAATTGGTAGCCAGCCATCGTTGCATTGATCATGCCTGACGGATACAATACACAAAGAATATATTGCGTGTGTGTAGTATAGCGGTTGTATGTGTACAATGCGATCCTTACACTTATCAAATTGGCAATTTTTACACATTGGATGGGCGCTACCTTCATCTCCGATTAGGTGTGTGAAGAAAAGCTTCACCCCTCAATACCCCTAGTCCCCTCCCCAAGAAAAATGAGGGGGAAGAAAAAAGGATGAAGCCAAAAGGGTATGCATATTCGAGCCTTCCGCAGTTTTGAATTCTAGCAACGAATGCCCCTGGCCCCTCCGCATGTTTGCGAAGGAACAAGAGGAGAGGTATAGTAGAGATCCTTATGATGTAATCATACGCCTGAAATATAGACTACGTCTCAGCTGCTGCGATGCTCGAGATTCGCCACATGTGCTGCGCCTATTTATATTGTGCGTGTGAGCAAAGTACGTACCGCATGTACGTGATATATGCGTGTACCGCGTGGTCGAGAACTTCAAGATTTCCTACGGCCACGAGAAGAAAAGCGTGAATAATGTTGGTCCTCTTTGAATCATCGGCAGGCTATGCCATTTTTAAGGTAGTATAATGTGTAAATTCAGATTTGAATCTAACTGTGTGATGTGTAATGATATGGTGGCAGTGGGAAATACTGTAACATTTCTTGTGATGATAAACCTAAAAGCAGGATCAGGGTCCAGTCCCATTGCTTTATATTTGCGTTAGCTTTTTATGAGAAGTATTATTATCAAGAGATTAAAGAGAAAAGATATGTACTAATTACCCGTTTGTCCTGTAATGTTAGCTGGATTAACATTGTCATTGTTATACAAATTCTTTTCAAGCTGTATTGAATTAAATAAATGACAACATTGATTGTGTGACAAGAAAATTGGGATAATATTGGAATTCATAAAATTAAAAATTAAAGAGTTTCCAATTTGAATTTCATCTGTTCATTAGACATTAGCATTGCACTGGAAAAAATCAGGACACAGACTTGTCAGCATCTACATATGTATGTTTTTGTGGCATAAACAAAAAGGCCCTTCTCCCATGTCTCCATATTCAGATATTGTAGAATCTATAATTGATCAGTAAATTCATAAAATAATTTTGAGTCTTTGTCAATTGTCTTGAATTGAGTTTGACCTTTGTTGACATGGTGTAGGTCTAGATGTTTGCTCAATAACATATTTGTCAATCTTCTTTATTAGCTGCTGGACGAGAAGAAACTTCAGAAGGTTGATGATCTATTCAAATCATTTGACTCCCCAGAGCATGCAAGCAAAGTGTAAGTAGGCCTATATCATCCTAATCCGGAGGGACTCCCAGGCCATAGACCATTCTTGTAATGTAATCAAATAACAATGCATAATTATGTGCATTCAATTTTGATTACAATATGAAAATGGTATTTTGCCGAACTCGTCTAAACTTTACCAGAAAAGATGAAGGAGATAAACAAACTTTTTAATAATAATTTACATAGCAGGAAGAAGAAAGGGCTTTAAAGTCATGTTGATAGTCATAAGTTTAATGATAATGGAAATTCAGCCATTTTTCTCTTTATTTTTCTCCTGAAGAAATGATAGGTCTACATAGGCCTACATGAGTATAATAGAACACCTTTTAAGTTTAAAACTCACTGGAATGAGATATCCTTCTAGGACAAATGTGGAGAGCAAATCATGTAGCTTTCTCTTCTGATTGAGTTAAGTTCATTATTTCATTTTTCATTTTTCTAGACTAAAGCTGAAACAGTTCGAGAAATTTCAGGACACAACAGAGGCTTTGGCAGGTAAGTTCCTCATGAACAACTCGGTCATCCCCCTCCCCCCCCCCCCCCCCTCTTTTTAATCATTTAATAACATTGTTTTCTTAAACTTGGGTAACCATGCTAGAATCACAACTGCCAATATACATGTAAGGATAGCTTTATAGATTAAAAAATCCAGTTAAATCATAAAAATCATCAATAAAATGAATTGTCATCAATACTACCTACAGGTACTGAAAAGTGCTGATATGGTGAATTTGACTCATCAAGTCTATGCTAGACTTCATTAAGTTTATGTTTTGGGCAAAAGAATTAATTTTTGCCTGCTTCCCAAATGGAGAATAGCTGGCTCTGCCGCCTCCTGACTGATAGTTTCCTGGGGATGGTCGAGACTCTAAAATATTGTTTCTGTTAATGATGTATACAGAGTAATGTATGAAGAAGAATGATTAAGATTATAACTCATTCGTCACTACCTCTGAGGCAGAAATGACTAGAAAATGACATCAAAAGCAGAGTTAGGCCTCATAGAAACCCTGTATAATCCCAGTAACCAAAGCTGATCACTAATCTCCCTCTGTAATATTCAACTTGTTAATGCTCTGTTTTCCATGCTCTAGCCTGATGATAATTGTAATATTGAATTAAAAAAGTCCAGGGAATAATTTTCCTGGTATCGCATCGCAATTTACTATGCATTTTTGCATGACTGCTATACAAAATATCTTTTGTGTAGCAGTTTTCTTCCATAGAAATGTACAGAATTTCATTTGAAATATTTATCCGTCGGCTGAAATTGCTAATCAAAAAATTTGAGGAAAATTATTCCCTGAAGTCACACGATAACCATGTTTCTGTCTACTTATATTCCCCATCTCAATTTTCTGGGATGATTTATCGTAAATTCTTAATCAAGTTTCTAAGAATTAAACTACCATGACTACATGAGGTTTTTAGTAAGTGAATTAGGAAGTGGAGCTGTTAATGGTTATTCTGAATGTAAAATAAGTGATTGTAATTTATCTTGATGGACTTGTTTTTCTCTTACAGCTGCTACTGCCCTTGTCGAAGGCAAGTTGGGCAAGGGACTAAAGAAGATCCTGAAGAAGGTAGTAGCCAAAGATGCTCAAGCAGAGCTCGCTGTGGCTGATGCCAAGCTAGGGAGCATCATCAAGGTAAGGATCACAGCACATAGGCTAATAATCATCACAGTTGCTTGTCTTTAATCACATTGACTTTTGTGCCTTTTACTGAAAATGTTGTTTATTCAGGTTGGAAATGTTTGGATACTACTAGTTCTCATGAGTTACAACAATTTCACTAAACATGGATTTTTCAAGATTTTTTTCAGTGATTCAAATTTCCACTTCCAGTTATTTTGGAGATTTTGGAGTTCAAAAGTGACCAAAGATTTTGGATGTACATGTAATACATGAGATATATTCTATATATTTCATTTCATTGAATGCTACCTGGCCTTTAATATTTACCAAAAAGCAACTGATTGCATGTTTTGTTATATAACATTTGGCAGCTTACATTATTGACGGTCAATGCTTCATATATTCCATTCAATAAATGTAGAATGTATAAAGAATACTGCAATGCTCATGTACAAATTGTATTATTCTCTATTTGATGTTTAGGATAAACTGAACATGAATTGTGTCTACAACTCCTCAATCCAAGAACTCATGAGAGGGATCAGGTCCCAGTTCGACAGCTTGGTTCCTGGTCTACCTGGCAGAGAAATGACTGCTATGACACTGGGTCTAGCTCACAGGTTAGTTTATTAATGGGACTTAGAGACAGAAAGTGAAAATAATATAAACAATGAAAGGAGGGGAACAAATGTGTCAGTTAATTAAATTGAATGAGAGACAACAAATGGAGAAGTGTTAAGAAATTGACGGGAGGGAGACGGGAAGTTGTGAATTTTGAGACCAAATATTTATGTTGCCTGCAAGTGAAATATGAGAAAGAGAGTTATGGCAGAAAATTTACCGGGAGGAAAATATTACATGTTACAAGACAAGAAGAAGAAGAAAAAGATTCCACTCACATGTAATAAGGAGAAAGGACAAGTCAGCACTATATGCATCCCTATTTCTGTATTTTCTTTTCAGTTTATCAAGGTACAAGTTGAAATTCAGCCCCGACAAAGTGGACACCATGATTGTTCAGGCAATATGTAAGTAGAAAAAACTGGGAGTCATGTTTTTATGCAAAATATGCTTTGAAATCCATCAAAAAAGATAAAAAGAAAAGTTCACAATCACTGTTTGATACAGTTTCTCTGTCCATGTACATTTTGTTTCAGACATGATTTTTATGGTGATAATGTGGCAGGGCAAGTCGAAGCTTTTTTGTCCAATATGTTACTATACTAACCACATCTAAGATTTCAGTATATCTCATTACTGTACCAAGCTGATAACCCCACATGAGCTTTGAGATGAAACAACAAATAAAATTCTGTTTTTTATGTCAATTTATTTTCACAATTCCATAAGACAATTTAAGAATACTTGGTTACATATGGAACAAACTTTGGACTTACCCAGCAGTGAAAGTGCTGTCAATAATTGTCATTTTAAAGACCGTCTATACTACTGGGCCAGAAAGGATTAGACCACACAGCAAGGTCCCTGACAGGTGGCTATCTCATTAACTCAGCTCTCAACTAACATAAGAAAAAGAGGATCACGGGGGACCAACAGGCACCGATTGGGGAAGTTTTCTATATTGAGGGAGCAAGTAGCTACAAGTAGGACAGTGAGGCTTTAATGAAGATTTCTGATTTATTTTACCCTTAATAAATATCTGTTCTGAATGAGCTAAGTAAGTTCTTATCTCTCATGTACATTTAGCACTTTTGGATGACTTAGACAAAGAGCTAAATAACTATGTGATGAGATGCAGAGAATGGTACGGCTGGCATTTTCCAGAGCTGGGAAAGATCATCACAGACAACCTAGCATTTGCAAAGACAGTACTACATATGGGTAAGTGCTTTAGGGTCATTGACTACTTTGAAGTTGAAAGTGAGCGTTTTCATTGTTATTATGCAAGTGTGGAAGAACATCAGAGAAAATAATGGCTCTTCAAATGCCTTCATATTCTAAATATGACATGTAACAGCTTAAAAATGAAAACCACATTATTATGCCACATGTTTGTGTAGTCCCATATATATCTCTCTCTGTACAGTGCTCGTTACTTTTACCTAGACTGGGCCAAATTTCTTATCATTTTGATGATTCCAGAACCTTGCCGTACACACCAATACTTATATGCTACATAATCACACCTTTTCTTTCACAATGCAATTGCCTGACCAGATCTCACCTTTATTTTTTAGGCCAATGCATGTTCTCCTTGACCCAGATTAAAGTTATTCTGTCTTTATGATATTTATGTAGGTGTGAGAACAAATGCATCCACAACAGACTTCTCAGAAATACTTCCAGAAGAGCTGGAAGAGCAACTGAAACTGGCTGCAGAAATCTCCATGGGAACGGAAGTATCTCAAGATGACATCCTCAACATCAAGTACCTCTGTGATCAGGTGAGTGGATGGCTTCATCTTAAGTAAATTTTTAAGGCTGGGGACACTGGCATCTTGGTGTTCGGAATAAAATTAAGTTTTTGGAGAATCAGTTCATTAAAAACTTGGTGTAGCGACCGCCTGTATAGGAAGACGGCCAGTCTATAAAGTCATGGAAACTTGCATCTGTAGTATCGTATACATACCATTTGCTCGTAAAGTTCACTTTTTTTGTTTCACTTGAATGGTCTTTATATTTATTTCTACTTCAGATTAAAAATATGCACTAGTCCTGAGCAAAGAAGGACCTCAATATTGAAATGACAGTGTTTGCCAAAACATCATCCCAGTGAGAAATTCAAGAGTAGAAATTGTGTGTGATGTATCCAGGTTAGGGTAGGAGTGTTCTTGGAGATAATGAAACCACTTCTGTCAATGATGCAGATAGAATATAGTATGAGATTATGATGATTATCACAAATTCTCATTCGTCACTACCTCTGAGACAGAAATGGAGTAGAATTTTCTTCTTATATTTTTTTCCCCTGGAGATTCAGTTCTTCGGTTGGTCTTTCACAGTTGGAAATATTAGCTGTAACTTTTTGTTTCATTGAGTAATTTTGCATGGTTATGGCAGCTTAATTCTTCATTGGGAGGAAAAGACCGATATATTTCTGTTAGTTGCATCAATGGTGATCTGACAGATCCTCTGGTAATATTTGTTCCATGCTCTATTCCATCAATGCTTATGCTTCTGACTTTGATTGTGTTGTATTTGGGGTTTAGAGTTACAGGGTAAAGTACATTTTGATCCGCTTTTGAAGTTGGGGATTTGGTTATTGTTCTGAATGAACCACAAAGGAGTGATTGACATAGCACATGCTGCAGCACATGTACTGACTAATTACCTTCTTCGCTCTCTCTCTCTCTCTCTGTTTCCCTCTATGAAGGTGGTCGAGATCACTGATTACAGGACACAGCTGTATGACTACCTCAAGAACAGGATGGCTGCCATTGCACCCAACCTCACCACCATGGTAGGCGAGCTGGTCGGTGCTAGGTTGATATCACATGCAGGTGAGTTGGTTGGTCCAGTGGTTTGGTGCCTATCATTGGAATAACACTGGCATGAGGTGGTTAATGCTAATAAAGAATAGCTCTTGAGATAGACCTTATAAAGCTGCTAGAATGAATAGAAAGCCGAAAAATGATTGACATTTGGATTCATAATTCTAGTTTGATAACTAAACAATGGAAAAACTGTTGCAAATCTGCTATCAATGTAGCTCCGTTCAATGAATTTCAGCATTGGGAGTTTATTGGGACAGTTTTATTAATAGGTTCTCCAAAAGGAGCATATCAGTATACACTGTAGTTACAAAAGTTCTATTTATTTATTTATTTATTAGAAAGATAAATGATTTATTGAGGTAAATGACCTATGGAGTTACGATTCATCTGTCATCATATTATGTAGATAATGAACTGGTTTATTTTAGACATTTGATAAAATCCAAGCTTAGTCCTGTAACAAGGAGCTAGTGAATGATATATTTAATCATTCATTTTTCTGTTGACACCATGTGAAGATAAAAGTCTTGAGCCTCGTTTCCTGTTCTATCCTTGCCAGGTTCACTGATGAATCTGGCCAAGCATCCCGCCTCCACCGTTCAGATCCTTGGAGCTGAGAAGGCCTTGTTCAGAGCACTGAAGACCAAGAAAGACACACCCAAGTATGGTCTCATCTACCACGCCTCACTCGTTGGACAGAGCACTCCTAAGAATAAGGGAAAGGTACGGAGTATTGCCATGTTTTTTCATCGTTTGTGCACTTTTGAATTTGACTTGAAGGAGGAATAGTAATTTATTGTCATTAGTGTTGTTGGAGTGTTTTAATCTTCACAGTTGTACCATTTATGTTCAGCATATCGAGTAAGTGTCTATGCCTCTGATTGGTTGTAACTGCAGCGACAGTTAAAAGCTCTATTTTTCTGTGATCTCTAGAGTAAGACTTTATCATCTTCATGCTATTTGACTTTTCCTCAGGGCATTCATTTCAAGATTACCTTGGTGCAGTGGTTCTAACAATTGCCCCTCAAAGCAGTATGCTAACATAACAAAAATGATACTGCAGGTACAATAAAATGTCAAAGAAACTGTTATTTTGATCAGAGAAAATGGCATTTTCCATTTGATATACTTTGATTTCATTATTTGTATTTATATAGTGCTCATAGATTAATTGCATCACTACTTTTCTTTCCTTTAGATGTCAAGAATGTTAGCGGCCAAGACCTCGTTAGCGATCAGATATGATGCCTTAGGAGATGATGCCAGCTGTGAACTAGGGTTACAGGCCAGAGCCAAGATGGAATCGAGACTAAGAAGCTTGGAGCAAGGAGACGTAAGTTCTATTCTGCATCTCTTCAGTTCCTGGTCCAGATTCTGGTCCAGATCCTGAAGTCTGGATATTGATGACCAGTTAGATTGTTCACACCCAAGTGAAGAATGTATTTTGTGTAAATTTTTGATGTTTTGTCCTAATACTTTACAATCTCAGAAAGGGACTATTAGTTATGTTCCTCTATTTAGTTTTACCTCAGAGTCTACTTTTTAAGATGTCTGCTGTGGAGGTGTCCCACATTTCCCTCCTTTGTTTTGTTTTGTTTTTGATTGTGTATTTTGTGTTTGCTTTAGAGATGGGAGGGGTCAGAGTTAGATTATCACCATTACATTGGGTTTTTCTTTCCTTATGTAGGAAGTTAAACCTAGAAACCATACAGTAGAATTTACCTGTAAAGGCGTGGTAAGGGAAACCGGTGAAAGTGGCTACCTTAAACAGATGGCCTTTATCGACCAGTGGTTACGATATGATAGGTTTGATTGTAGTTCAAGTAGCTTATTTGCCATCTCTGCCAATGATGAGAACGTTGTAAAATCATGATTTACCATGATTATTCCAAACAACTTCGTCACTACCTCTGAGGCAGAAATATAGGTCGCATAATAGATTTGAGCTAGACAAAAAAAAATTAATTTGATTGAGGTTCGTGCCTGACTTTGTATCCTTCAACATTTTTATCCAGGAAAGACGTATTTCTGGCACAGGGAAGTCCAAGGCTAAGTTTGAGAAATACCAGCACAAGAGCGAGGTCGTGACCTACGACCCCGGTATGGACTCCACCCTCCCATCTGTTCCCAAGAAGCGGAAGATAGAAGAGGTGAACGGAGATGATGAAGGAGAGGAGACGGTGTCGGCATCACCTGAGAAGAAAAAGAAGAAGAAGAAGAGAGTGTCGGAGCCGGAAGAAGTAAAGGAAGAGTCAGAGGAGGAGACAGGTAAGGCCAATATCAATCTTGTCTATCTCTCTATATCTCTCTCTCTCTATATATCTCTCTCTCTATATATCTCTCTCTCTCTCTATATATATATCTCTCTATCTCTCTCTCTCTCTCATATCTCTCTCTATATCTCCCTCCATATCTCTCTCTATATATCTCTCTATATATCTCTCTCTATATCTCTCTCTATATCTCTCTCTATATCTCTCTCTCTATATCTCTCTCTCTATATCTCTCTCTCTATATCTCTCTATATGTGATCCACTGGCAGAGGAATGCAGGTCTCGCCATCAATTCCTAATTTTGCTCTTTTTGTTTTTATTCTGACAAAAATTTGTCAGCAAAGTATTGTACAGAAAAATAATATTTGTCAAGAGAGAATAATCAGATAAGGCAATTAATGATTGTAGTACTACAAAATACGGATTTGGGAGAGGAAGGGTAGCAGGGTTCAATGATGTGGGAACCATGAGCAAGAACTTTGCATTGGAAAGAAGAAAAAATAAGGTAAGGAAAACAGTGAAAGTGGCTAGCTCAGACAGATGGCCTTTTATAGATGGGTAGCCTCAATATGACAAGTTTGATTGTAGTTAAGGTAGCGTATTTGCCATCTCTGCCAATGATGAGAACGTTGTAAAATCATGATTTATCCATGATTATTCCAAACAACTTCGTCACTACCTCTGAGGCAGAAATATAGGTCGCATAATAGATTTGAGAAACAAGACATGGATAGGGGAGAGGAAGGGTCTCGGAGTTCAATGATTTTGGAACCAAAAGCAAGAACTTTGCATTGGAAAGAAGAAAAAATAAATATAATACAGTAGAAGGACTTGAAACTTGTTTAACTCAACTTTTATATTGTGAAGCATAGTTTTAAAATGTATTTTGAAACCAATATCAACTTTTATAGGTTTGAAAAATGACAAGCCTGTAATTAACCGAACCTCATTTACAGATATTTCTTGTGTTTATAAAACTTCATTTTATGTGATTGTTTGGATGTCTCCAATATCCATCTTGATGTTTTTGTCTCTGTCCAGTTCCTGAACCATCATCAGAGAAAAAGAAAAAGAAAAAGAAGAAGGTCAAGGAGGAACCAGAAGAAGAAGCAGATGAACCGGAAACGGTAAGTAGCAGATAAAGGAAGGTGTACATTATTGTATAAGAAATACTTTAGGTGACCCAAATAGTGCATTTTTCTGTATGCTAACACGCATAGGAGACAGCTGTGTTGACTGACGGCCCACGAGCCTTAAAGGCAAAATGTTAGAAAGCATATTTTGCCAGATGCAATGCAGGATAGCTTGGGCGGTTGACTGTTGAAAGTCATCGAGTGATAACACAATGGAATTCCTTGTTGAATATTGTTATATCAGGGTTAAACAGTCAATAAAATGCAAATTGGGACATGCAAAATTATGTTTTCATGGAGAGTTTGTTGTACAGTGTTTTAAGAAGAAAGCTCTGTAGCCAATCATTCTGTTAACATGAATCTACAATTAAAAGGATCAATTTGGTTGTAAAGTTGCTGATATTATCAATTTTTAAAGAGAAGGTTGAGTTCTGGGAAGAGGTGAAAAATAATTTGTGAGCATTACTCGTTCTTATTATGCAAGTGTGGAAGAACATCAGTTAAGACATGTTCCCCGAAAAGCATGGCTCTTCAAATGCCTTCATATTCTAAATATGCATGTAACATCGTAAAAATCGGGGGGCCTGCTTTTTACGCCACGTGTTCGTGTAGTCCCATATACATCTTTCTGTGCAAGTGTTTGTAACTTTACCAAGACTTTGCCAAATTTCTTATCATTTTGATGATTCCAGAACCTTGCAATACACACAAATTCTTATATGCTAGATGATCAACCTTTTCTGGTCGGTTCCACACCGTTTCTTTCACAATGCAATCGCATGACCAGAACTCAACTTCATCTTTAAAACATGATGATTAAAGTTAACCCTCTGTTCTTTCTCCACTTTTATTCTCTCCCTTACAGCCAAGCTCAGAAAAGAAGAAAAAGAAGAAGAAGAGGAAAAGTATGGCAGAAGACGACTGAGAAGAGACTACAAGAATAGTTGGATAAGAATTTCATAGGATTCAGAATTATCATATTCTATGTGCATTTTCATTCTGTAATTAGCAGCAAATGAGAACAGCATAAAAGTGACATTTAACTTTTTATTCAAAGCTTTTAAACTTGACCAGACATGGCTATATTTTTGTGAATATTTAATTCTTCATAATCTCCCTTTTACTTTTTGTTTTCTTTTATTATTTTATATACGATATGCATATTAAAATTATGTGATTGCTCCAACACTCAAGTCTTTTTTTTTTCTTATCGGCAACACTCATTTAAGTGTTTCTGTTTTGCTGCAAATAGAAAGAGTTGATTACAGTTTTCAGTCTGAAGGAATACCTTGATTTACATGATGTCTGCCTCTAGTCAACATTATTGGGCTGTATGGTAATTAATAGATTTCTTTGTGTCTGTCTTTTTGTAATGTTCTTAGCAGCTTGTCAATAACATAAATGCAAGGACAGTATTGTTGTCTTGTAACACTGAGCAATCCAAACATAATTGGCTTAATGTTAAACTTCCAGTCACATTAGTTTGCCAAAGGTAGAGTAGAGAATAATGTATAATGAAGCTTTTATCATTGAAAATGCCTACATGGGACTTAGAAATTATTGTAAATATTAATTGTTCATTTTCTTTCTTTTTAAACAAAATGTTATTACCTGTGAGTGAATTTTTTAAAGAAACATGTCATCATTATGGCTTCAGTTCCTATGCAGGAACATTTAAGTTATTATACTTATTTGGTAAGTTCAAGGTATTATTTTCCATATGTTAAGGACATCAGAATTGATATTTCCCAGATGATTCTGTGAAATTGACCGCCCTACAAGAGTGGAGGTCAGTCATGAAAACAGACATTTGCAATGTTAATCCCTGTTTAATTTCCTTCTTTTTTGAGGAGGGGGGGGGGGGGTACCGTTTCGGACAGAAAAATGGCCAAAGTACCTTTGACTTGCCCTACTATGAAGTATACATGAAAATGATAATATAGCACAGCGATAAAGTGCAGCATACAACTTATATCTGTATCATTATGATAACAATGAGCAAGGTTCAAATTCTTCTTAAATCTTGGTCACTTTTAGCAAGCAAATAACAAAGACATCAGTGTTACTGTCAGTATCCCATGTGTAAATGTTTTGTTAAAATGCAAAGCAAATTCCATATTTTTCTTAACTTCAGTTAATCATGGTAATGTTTGATTGTACATGATCAAATGTGATTACTAATTTTGAATACTTGTAGTTGATTTACCAAAACTTGTGTCTACTCTCAACTTTTATTTATTTCTGATGGTGAAATAACAAGACCACCCACTCACTACAAATGTGTTTTAAAACTTATTGTGTTATGTAACTAGATTGAGATATTCACTCACCTCTGTTATAACCAAACACAAATTATCACAAGTATAATTGTGTTTCATGGTGTTACTGTTAGTAGTGACCCAGGGTCAAAAGTGTGGTGTCTATTACTTTTACTAGTATTCAATTTTAGTGCTGACATGCAGTATGTCTTTTATGCATTCCCCACTAGCTGTCTCTAAAAAAGAGATGCACTTTTGATCGCTTCCTTGTATATTACAATGAATATGGAATTATGTTTTTATTAAAATCATATCTTGTATAAAGTACTCATGCAGAATGTGCTTTTGGTATTAGATATTGAGTGCGGGATGAAAGAGGAGAGTGAGCTGCTCACTCTTCCGAATGCAAAGATGAGCTTGTATCATATACATCAGTAGTGACATAACAAAGATTTTTACCAACAATCCCAACTAGATGAACTTAATAAGCCAGGATATTGAAGGGTTCCATTTAAAATGTTGACAAACATGTCGTTCAATCTTTTACTAGCTGCTAACCTTTCAGATTGATTTTTCAAAATCTATTTCAAAATGTTAATAAAACATTATTTTACTGGGCATAAATATGGAGAATCTATGAGAATGAGAGGGTGAGGTGAGAAAGAAGGACTTTAGTGAGAAAGAAGGGTGGCCCGATGTGGAGGAGATCAGATTTCAACATATCACAACCTATGTGAAAACAAAAACAATAGAACACATAATCGTTGAATGAAGTCTAAATTCGTTGACAGAAGAAACATTTAGACCTAGACCGACTTTCATGAACTTATTGCTTATATTAGTTAGATGTAGAATTAAAGCGGTCTATAGATCACATTGATTTATATAAGAATGAATGTTGTGCAGAGAGCACTATATTGATCAATTTACATACCATCTCAAGATTTTATCTTTGATTTAATACACCTATTAAAGTCATAATTTAAAAAATATAGCATGAATCGACATGATCATCCTTTCTCTTGCTGGTTTCTTCTCTCGTCATAATATAAATAACTCTCTACTCTCTCTCTTTCTCTCTCTTTCTTAATCCCTTCTCTCTCTCTCTCTCTCTCTCTCCCTCTCCCTCTCTCTCCCTCTCTCTCTCTCTCGTCTCCCTAATTCTCCCTTCTCCCCGTTCCCTCTTCGATTCTCTTCTTTCCTCTCTCTTCCTTCTTCCTTCTCTCTTCTCCCTATTCCTAATTCTCTCTTCTCACTGTTCTCTTATCCCCGTTCTCTTCTCTCTTTCTCTCTTCTTCCTTATCCCTAATTAAGTTCTCTCTTCTCTCTTCCTTCTTCTCTCTTCTCCCCTTTCCCTCTTTTCTCTTCTTTTTTCTCTCTTCTTTCTTCTCTCTTCTTCCTTTATTCTTAATTCTTCTCTCTTCTCCCTTTTCTATTTTCTCTTCCTTTTTCTCTCTTCTCCCTTCTCTCTCTTCTTTCCATTCTCGGTCTCTTCTCCTTTCTCTCTTTTTCTCTTCTCTCGATCTTTTCTCTTCCTTCTTCTCTCTTCTCTCTCTCCTCGAAAATGTTATCTTACATTAACAACATTCTCGAGGATACCGTAGGATAAGGGGCGGAGCATCGAATTTACTTGACATTCGTTGGGGCGGAGCTGCACGAGTGTACGTGCAGGGACGTAATTCCGCAAAGTCATACCTCTTCAAATATTCTTACTATCATCCAGGTAATTTACATTTATTACTCTCGATCTATTGTTGTTATTTTTCAACTTTGACATAATCCGTCTTCTTTTTCTTCTTCTACTTTCCCATCTGTACATCTACCATTATATTCCTGCTTGTCTTCTGAATTCTGCACTCAGAGAGCAATAATTCATTGATGTCTCGATGGATGGGTTATTCGTGCTCATATTCATAATGATAATCATATGAATATTTTCACACACACAGTTGTTGGCTCATGCAACCGGCCGTGTGATGTATGTGCGCATCTTCGGGTATTTGTTGGGGTCAGTAGGTCCATGCTGTGGTCGGTGCATTGTTGCGTTGAGTAGTTGGTTGTTTTCTGATTGTATTTTGTAAATAGCTTTATATATATTCCATATATCATTTTTTGTTTGTATTCATGAATCAGTTATCTTTGTCACATCATCTGAGCTGAGCTGAGGGGCCTAGCTTAACCAGGCCAAGCTGTACTTCAACCAAGGTCTCCTCGTCTTTCTTTTTTCTACATTGTGTACAAAAAATAAACTTTTATCATTATACTATATTATATTTTATTACATGTGATTTCTGAAAGACAAATAAACTTGAACTTGAAGTATCAAATTGGCAATGCCAAATACTTATCTGAGTAGGTGAAAAGCAGCATATGATTTTATTTTTTGTTTCCTCGCCCCATTTTCTTCATTGTTATCTTCACTTTATAGGCCATGGGGACATCACAAAGTGTTGCTTTGAAGGAGAAGACGGTGGTGGTGATCGGCTGCAGCTTTGGGGGGAAAGCAGTGGCGTATCCACTCAGGGGCCAGTGTAAACTTATCGTGATTGATCCTCGTGAAGCCATGCACATTACCATAGCAGCACCAAGAGCCTGTGTTGAACCAGGTAATTATTAACCCATACCAGGCACGTACGCAGGGGGGGGGGGGGGGGTCAAAACCGGCCCCCCCCCCTCAAATTTGTTGAGTGTGTTTTGGAGGAACCCCCCCCCCCCTCTTTTTTTTTTTACAAAAAAAAGTATTCTTTTTAAAAATTGTGCTATGGGTGACCAAAAAAGGTGACCTAACCCCTCCCCCCAACAGAACCAAATTTTGATCGGTCATATTTTCAAGCGGCTGGCAGCGGCTGGCTGAGTCGTTACAAATTTTTTCAAAATGTGCTCTCAAAATATTTGGCGCGATTTTCAAATGTTAAACCCCCCCCCTTCAAATGAATCCTGCGTACGTGCCTGGCCCTTACCATGCTACATTGCATAGACAGTACTTAAAGACTTTAAGTTACCTGATAGGTCAACAGTGACACCCGCACTTTAAAAAAAAAGTCTTCCTACATGTGTATCAAATATATTTGTATCTCTTCTTTTACTTTGAAAAAAAAGGACATTGTCATCCTATTTTTACCCCATTCCTTACTGTTCTCAATGTTCTTTTTCAAATGTTATAATCCTAGGTGTGGTCAGTAACTTATAGTTTGGACTTGTTCAATCCTATTTATCTCTTCTTCCCCTCTTGGTTGCAGGTTTTGCTAAAAGGGTTCTTATACCGCTCAAGGAAGTCTTTGGTGATAGCTTTGAACAGGATACTGTGGAGAAGATATCCCCTGCAGCAGGGCAAGTTGTCCTCTCCAACGGCAAAGAGATTTCCTACGACTACCTGGTGATAGCCACAGGCACAACAGGACCATTTCCAGGCAAGCTTCAGAACGACTGTACCATCGATCAGGCTTTGGATCTGTACAAGGATGCATGTGAAAAGGTAGGCTTATTTCTCGTCTGTGTCTATCAAATCAAATCCAATTCATGGAGTATTTGTTATCAATATGCCTTCTTTGCAGTTATAAAGTGCTTATTTCCAATTTTCCCCACAATGTGGTATAAGGACAGTTTAAATAATAATAAGAACACTTCAAGACATTAGTTGAGCCAATATAATTGTAATGATTTGGGTATGATTTATAGTCATCCTTATCTGTTAAATAGACCAGCCATTTACTGAAAATCTTGAGATATGATTGCCAGACATTGCAACAGCTAATGTAAGGAAGATGGATTGCATCTGTAGTATATATACCATCATACAAATTAGCGTTTCAACGTTTGGAATAGATTTTCTCCATTGGTTCCTGGAAGAAACATTCACAAATTTTGATGGCATATACAAACCTCTCTATAGTGACCGCCCAAGGGAAACGCAAAAAGTGGCCTTTGTAGACAGATTCGATCCTTTAGTACATGATTCAATGAGGAACCGCTTTCAAGGGAAACAACAAATGTGGCCTTTGTAGACAGGTGGTCACTGAAGTAGGTTTGACTGTAGAAGTTTACTGATTAAAATGACTGATTCTTTCCATCACTGTCATAGGTGAAGGCTGCCAAGACGGTGGTGATCATCGGAGGGGGAGCTGTAGGGGTAGAGATTGCAGGAGAGGTGGCTACGGATTACCCAGACAAAGAAGTCACCATCATCCATGCCAGAGACAGCCTGGTGGAACCTGCCACGAGTGACACATTCAGGGCCTCTGTTCAGAAGCAGCTAGAAGAACTCAATGTGAAACTGGTCTTTGGTATGTCTGTGTCTCTATGACTCATTCTTTGGCGACAATTACTCGGCCCTTAATTTCAAACCAAGCTTAATTCCTTACTTTAAATCTGTAGCAAACACTACACCTATATCTGTACTTTAACCCTCATCCTAATCTAAACTAAAGCTAAAACCCGATCAGAACTTTTCTCTAATCTCATGCCTTTGTCAAAATGAAGAATGTACCAACGTTTGCAGGAGTAGCTAGGTATCAGTATGTTTTATTCCAAATTTATTCCACTCTGAAGACAATATAAGTGTAACCTTATTATATATATATATATATGACAAGTTCAAAACCGTTGAATAATTCAAAACTTATGAACCACCTGTCATTCTTTTACTGTACCTCATTCTCTCTCTCTCTCTCTCTCTCTCTCTCTTTTGCTGTCTATGTATCAACCTCTCCATCTCATCCTTTCATTTTCCTCCCTCCTCCCCCTCCTTTACCTCTCTTTCTCCACCTATCTCATTGTCACATCCAGGTGAGAAGGTGACCAATCTTGATGACATTCCTAGAGACCTATCAGGAGCCACTGTCCTCACCGACAAAGGCAAGTCCATCCAGGCCGACGTGGTGTTTGTATGCATAGGCTCGTCAATTAACAGTCAGGCATATGCAGAAGAGCTTGGTGAGTAGTATACAGAGGCTCGCACTCACTGACGAGGGGGGTGTTTCACAAAGATCCTAGGTCAAACTCAACTCTAATTTTGGACTTAAAAATTACGGAGAGCCATTTGTAGTCTTAAAATAGAATGTATTCAAAAAAGATAATTAAAGTTTTTTAGACTTTTTATAAATTCCACATCAAGAACATGAAATCTCATTGATAATAGATAATATGAATGATTCAAATCAACATTTTATGCCTTTTGAAATAACTTTTATAAAATATTTTCATAGATTTTAACAGCTTTCCATAGATTTTAACAGCTTTCCATAATTGTTAAGTGAGTCCAACTTAGAGATAAGTTCAACTTAGGATCTTTGTGAAACACCCCCCTGGTAACGAAGTTCATGAAATTGTGATCAATAACAACTTTCGGTACCACAGATCTACTGCGAAACTGGGACTTTCCCTTGCATGAAACCTTGACAATTCGTTTGCGAGTGGCTCAGATTTGTGAAAATTTCAGTCCGTGAATATTTATTTCACAACTAAGAGAACACAGAATATTTGCAATTCATGATAACGTAATTTGTTTTGTTATTTACTGGCTGTAATGATTATGACTGATAACAACTTAGATTATATGATCATTACTGACTTTCAGATGATTTGTTTAGCTAACTAAAGAGTTTTTAGATACTTTCTTTCTTGTCAGGAGGGTGTGGGGGAGGGGGGGGGGGGGAGTGGTGAGGCAAATTGTTAGCTTGATCATTCAAGGTGTAATAATCTCCAGAAATATCCCTTTACCACATCAAACAATAATTCATCATTTCCTTACAGGTTCTAAGATGGATGCACGTGGGTCTCTTCAGGTCAACCAATATCTTCAAGTAGAAGGTCATGAAAACATATTTGCCGTAGGTGACTGCTGCAACGCGGATGTTCAGAAGATGGCGTATAGAGCAGGAGAGCAGGGAAAAGCCGTCTACCACAACATCGTACAGCATGCGAGTGGGTACCCACTGAAACCGTACAAGTCCCGTACGTATGCAATCTTTCAATTCGTAGACTAGAGCTGTTTGAAGGGGGGGCATTTTTTTTAATAGAAATTGATTGCTTTTGCAGTTTTGCATAATTTGCATAATTTAGGAAAACTTTCAAACCTACTTTAGTGACCATCTACCAGTATATGATCGATATGAAGAAGAAAAAAAATCACCTGTCTATAAAGACTAAGATGAAGGCAATGTGATTCTATATTGAGGGCATTAAACATGAAGTGCCATGTGACATGACATATAAAGCCAGTCAAATTATTATCATCACTTATTCTTTATTCATTTATTAACTACAACTATATCAGGCACAATTTGTCAGATGTTACAAGGCTGGAATATGAACTGTGTGTTCAAATGACTGTCTTTACATAATGGTTGTTTATGTTACATAGATGCATCATACGTAATGATAATATGGATACGGATAAAGATATTCACTTTATACTCTCATTCATTGTCACTTAAGTCAGGCAGAAGTTACCAGATGTTCAACAGGAGGAGTACAAACTGAATGTTATGGACTGCTTAGTACATAACAGTTCTGTGGTTTCCGTAGATGCACGATGTGTAAAGATAAGGATGAATAATGATGATGATGAAAATGATAATAGAATGATGACTATTTACATATAGTACCGGTATGTTGTAATATCTTACTCTATAGTTGTACACATGCATTGTATATAATTCTTACAAATCGTGTTATTATCCTCTTTTATCATTTACAGCATGCGTGATGTTCGCTCTGTCAATTGGACGGCATCGGGGTCAGCTTCAAAATGGCAACATGGTCCTAGGGTCATGGCTCATGAAGCGAGTAAAGAGCCATGATCTGTTTACAGGAAAAATGTGGGGAGAATGTGGTTTGAAACCTCCCAAAAACTGAAACACTACAAAATTATGTCGAGGTGCAATGAAAATGGAATTTTACATTTGATTTTATACATTCAAGCATGACACTGCAATTAATTCAATCAAATTAACTTGCCCTTTAATTACTGGCATTTTTTATGTTTTCCGCCTGTAACCGACGAATCAAGCATCCTTTATTTATTTATTATTGCAACGTATTAATAGAGAGACACATAATTCAGAGCTCTGCCAGTTCGAGTGTGTATATTTTTATGAGCTATAGTATCACCACGCACGCATCTTTACGATATCTGTGCAATAATGTTATTTATTATTGCAACGTATTTAGAGAGACACATAATTCAGAGCTCTGCCAGTTCGAGTGTGTATGTTTTTATGCGATATAGTATCACCACGCACGCATCTTTACGATATCTGTGCAATAATGTTATTTATTATTGCAACGTATTTAGAGAGACACATAATTCAGAGCTCTGCCAGTTCGAGTGTGTATGTTTTTATGCGATATAGTATCACCACGCACGCATCTTTACGATATCTGTGCAATAATGTTATTTATTATTGCAACGTATTTAGAGAGACACATAATTCAGAGCTCTGCCAGTTCGAGTGTGTATGTTTTTATGCGCTATAGTATCACCATGCACGCATCTTTACATTGCAATCATGTTATGCTAACTGTAAACATACATTCATGGAATGCTAGTACATTTTTATGCAAATATACAACAGTTATTATTATTTTAATTTATTGTTGTTGTGATTACAATTGTAATACTGGTCAAGCTTGCTATCCATAAGGACAGCTATTCATAAGGATTATTATTCATAATGACCGCTGTCCATAACGCGTAACAAAATGAATAGCAATCCTTTATGAATAACGGCCCTTGTAAATAGTGAGCAAACCATAGCCAATTTACCTCATAATTCATAAGGACCGCCATTCGTAAAAACCACTATTCATAAGGACCGCCATTCACAAGGACCGCCATTCATAAGGACCACTATCCATAACGCGTGACTAAATGAATCGCTGTCTTTTATAAATAGTGGTCCATTTAAATAATAATAATAACAATCTATTAAAGTCCACTCCAAATTTTATTAAACCGAAAAATGGAAATTCTTTTTGCCCAATTGATCGTGAGCCCGGCAGCCACTGAGCTGCGCCAGATCGACGTTGCTCTATCCCCTTATTGTTGAACGCCAAACAAGGTAGCAGTAACTCCCGTCTTTTAACGGCGTTTGGTATGACGCGGCCGAGGTTCGAACCCACAACCTCCGGGTTGTGAGGCGGACGCTCTACTGACTGAGCCAACACACCGGTCGGGTGCAGACCCCTCTAATACAGCAGTCACATCGACGAGACCAACGCAAGACCGACAACACATCGATCATAAAGTTGCATTACCTCCAATGGCCAAGAATCGATCAGTATAGAGTCGGTTTGGAGTCGGTTTGGAGTCGGTTCGGAGTCGGTTCGGAGTCGGTTGGGAGTCGGTTGGGAGTCGGTTGGGAGTCGGTTGGGAGTCGGTTCGGAGTCGGTTCGGAGTAGGTTTGGAGTCGGTTTGGAGTCGGTTTGGAGTCGGTTTGGAGTCGGTTTGGAGTCGGTTCGGAGTAGGTTTGGAGTCGGTTTGGAGTCGGTTTGGAGTCGATTTGGAGTCAGTTTGGAGGTGTGACTGAGGTATTACTTGGTTAATCACTAATAGCAGATCCAAGGTGACTATGTGGTGTAAAGAGTGTAATTGTTTGATGTTTGGGGTAACACCCTGTTCTGTTGCTTGAATGAATTTCCCTCACAATCATCTTGTTTGCTTAGTGAATATAATTTACAAAGATATTCCTAAATAATATATTAAATAGAGAAATGAAATTGTATATTGCCTATTGTGACAGAGTATAAAATGAAGAATTTGTACTTAATATTTGATATACCGGTAACTGTTTTTAAAGTACTATTTGTATATTTTTGTTCAAAATGTATAATAGATTTACACAGATATTCCTATATGATATATTAAATAGAGGAAATGAAATTGTATAGTGCCTTTTGTGACGGAGTATAAAGTGTATAATTTGTACTTAATATTCAATCCATTTTTTTATTTTGATATACATGTACATTTTGTAACTATTTGTATATTTTTGTTGAAAATTTATATACTGCCTATATAATTGTAATGAAGTACATCTTTCTCTAAACTTTTCTGGATATCACCAAGGAATTAGGTATTAAGATTGAAATTATTATTGTGTTAGTCAATAATTAGATTTGTTGTCACCGTTAAGAGAAAGTCGAGTCCGGATAAAGGGGAAATCATAATTTTTTCGCTTTCTCATTTATTTCATTTCAGTTTGGAAGAATATCATGTTAGAAATGTTTCCTGCCCAAGGATTGCTTTTTAAATGCCCTAATATTCAAAATATGACGAAAAAAAGCTGAAAAGTTTTGATCCAAATTTCATGCCATGTGTGATTGTCATCCAATATACAATGTTATTTCAGTGTCACATGGTGCAGTGTATCTAATAAAACCTCGCATTACAATCCAATTCTTGTGTACCGCAACTTCATAATGTTATTTTATGACTAGAACAGAACTATATCTTAAACAGTTTATTTAATCTTTGTTGTTGATTAAGTGGTAAAGCACTTTTGTTCTTAAGCCAGAGGTCCTCCAGGTTTTGTTCCCTGTGGAGACGTTTATATTTTTCAATATGTAGCAGTTTTATCCATTGGCAATACTGAGATGGAGTCCTCGTTTAAGCTATGCTTAAAATCATTCTTGTCATTTTTTTTCTTCATTTTTAAACATGTGTATATCGGTACATGTACACATGACTGTGTTTATATTATTTTGTAGTAAGTGTAGCAGAGCAAAATCAGAGTGATTGGATGATGAGAGAGAAGGAGAAGGAGATGAAACAAGGCAGAAAAGAATGAGGGAGTTTTAGTGGTAAAAAAGTTAAGAGGGGAAAATGGTAGGCTAAAAAGACATTAAAAGTAAACTTTAAATCACATTAAAGGTAATACACAGTTTTGGTATGGGGTCATGAATTTGGTTTAAATGATTATTAGAAGCAAATGTGATTTTGCAATATTCAATGATCGTTGTCGCGGTTGAAATCGAGTCTAAAGTGATGAAAATGTAAATAATAAACTCTTTATGTTGTATAGCTCCCTATCAAGACTGATATTACTTTAGCTTTAAAATAATGTTTCTTGACTACAATCGACTGACTTGCTACTCCCGTTTGAAAACTATACAGTGCGTCCAAGAAAAAACGAAACCGAGAATTATCGATGTGGCATAACTTAATCAAAATTATAATTGATAAATGACACATATTTTTTGTAAAGCTTAGATCCTCCTCTTTCATGCAACTCATATAATGCATATTTCACGCATGAGTGATTCAAATCATTTTGAAGAGAGGAAACCAAAAAGTCATTTGGGGGACGGTATCTGAATTTCAAAGAGGAAATTACATTTCTAGGAAGTTGAGTTTCTGCCCTTTCATATGACACCTCAATTAGGAAAAATGAGCAAGGAATGACACAGTTCTGTTTGTTTAAAGTAGTGCTTGCATTTCCATAATTTTATCAAACGAATTCGTTTTCACTGGCTGCCAGCCGTAGCAACAAGCAGAATTGACAAAAGACTTAAAACTCTGTTTCGTTGACAATCAGCCATGCATGAAGTCTTTTGCATTAAATGAAAGGGGAGGATCTAAGCTTTACAAATATGTGTCATTTATTAATTATAAATGTGACTAAGTTATGATAAAACATCGATAATTCTCGGTTTCGTTTTTTCTGGGATGCACTGCATATTCTGAGACTTTTCATGGTCGCAGCTACCAATACCATGGAGTGGTCTTAGGCGCTGTTTAAAATATTTGAAATTTACTGGGAGCACCGGTTAATTTTTTATTATTCAATTTCTCGAAAGCTGAAGTGTTTTAGGGGCTAAATTTTCTGGTGCTTATAATACATCCACAGGGGCATCAAAAATATATATAAAAACGTTAAAAAAAATTACTATCCGTCCAAGTTTCAAAATTTCCCAAAACTTTGCAATACCTTTAAAGCATTTATTAAAAAATATTTTGAGTGCACATTGAAAGAGAGTTTGATGAAGAGAGTGAATTAAGCGGAAAGGAACAAAGTAAGCTGGAAATGAGAAGAAATAAAGAACTAGTCGACAGTGATAAGGTGAAAGTTGTGTGCAGGTGTATGTACGGGAAATAATGTACTCCCACGCACTTCGGATCTTGGCCTTAAACATGGGTAACTATTTTCTTCAGGATAATATCTCACACATAATCTCGCTAACGTGAAAATTCCAGATGCAAAATCCCGCAAATATAATTGAAATAAATTAGCTTTTTATCCAAAGTCCCCTAATAAGGGTACTATTTTCTGCCAAAATGACCCTTAAAAATGGGTATGGGTAATAGACGCTTCAGCCGCACACCCCCGTCCAAACAAAATCTGAGTACCCCCCCCCCCCCCCCCGGGTTATCTCTCTCAATTTGGACACCTGAATGAAACAAATCTAGTGCGTTATCAATAACTTAAAAAATGAAACGTCACATAGTTGCCAATTTATGTTTCAACATTAACAGATCATGTAACTTTGTCATTTATCATCGGATATTAATCAAACGTTCACTAATTTTTTTGGTCATTTTCTGCTAGTATTAATACCAACTTGATTATGAGGTTGGCCTAAAACCTATACCCTACTTCTCACCGACATATAAATACAGACGAGTGAGAACAAGCTGCAGTTACTTTGAGTAAGCCCTCTGTAGCTTTCTGCATTATATCGTATTAGAGTACAAGCCAGGGTCCCATATTGCAACTTATTTGCAATCAATAGCAACCATGTACAGAAGATTGCCGATCAATCGCAACTCTTTATAAGACGGGACCCTGGCAAGCAACTGTATTTTCATTTAGGAATATGGCCTATATTATATTATAAGTCAATCAGAGAAAAAATTATAAGCATATATTCATTATCTCTAATTCAATTATAATTGATTATGATCTATTATAATTATAATTGATTATGATCAATCAATTCCTTTCTCTGAAGCAATTTTTGTCCCCGTCTATTGCGCTGTAGAGCTCTTATCCTATTCCTAAGTCGCTAGGATCATGGTTTATATTCCAACCAAACAAGATGATTTATAATCACAGTATTTGAAGAATCAAAAGGATACCCCTTCTCGAAACTATTCTGTTCCACCTCAAATGATATTAAACCAAAGTTATGAACAATATACAATATAATTCACATTCAAGAGCATCTACTCTATTATTCTCAAGAATAATAATATAAGGCAGATAGTATCTGCTGACAAATAAACAGTAATTTTACTTTCATTATTTTGTGTGTGTGTAATTAATTCATACTATTTCAATTTGGCCTGATAGTCTTCAACTTTAGATTTTTTTTGTACTATTTTGGTTTCATGCTGCTACACTTTCAATATTTTTGTTAATGATCTAATACAGTGACAAAATGAATATTTTACCTCATTTTCACCCATGTTTTTGTTCAGTCCCCCGCTCCTCACCCGGAGGCAACGGTCTGGATCAATCTGTTTGGATACGCCACTGTATTATTGGGAGAAGAGCAACTCAGAATGAGGCTTATAGGAGGGGAGAGGAGAGGAGAGAGAGAGAGAGAGAGAGAGAGAGAGAGAGAGAGAGAGGGGGGGGGGGGGGGGGACTCTTTGCCTCGGGATGATTATACATGTGTGTCTGTGTCATCGTCATTATCATCACCATCGTCATCATCATCGTCATCATCATCATCATCATCATCATCATCAACACCACCACCATCATCATAATAATCAGCAAAATCACCATATCATTTCAATATCACAACTAATCTATCTTAACTGTAGACTTCTCTAACTACATATTTATGCCAAGCAAAGAGCTCAATTTAAGACCACGTGATAACCTAGTCCGAGGAAATGCTTAGTTTAGCTATTCCTTTCATAATTGTTTTAAATTTTGATGAAATATACCAATCCAAGCATATCCATCATCAATATATATCGCGCGCAAATCCAAAAATTGTTTGCATCCCTTTTTACTTCCGGGTGTACACCACAAGTAGGGCAAAGTTCAAAGACCGATAATATAAGATCGACGGGATGAACGGTATCTCAGCTCAGCATGTAAAAGCAAACTAAACAGCTTTCAAAATGGCTTTAAAACATGTTATATTAATCTTAGGTGTTGCGATATCATTACATTTTGTATCAGGTTAGTATATTGCTACTGTTTATGTATGTATTTGTGTAGTTGTTTGCCTTGTTTTCATAGAATTTTCCTAGTTTACTTGCGTTGCTGTGTGCGATGTGTGGCAAAATGGCGTCTTGTTTTGAGTCGGAATGGACATAGACTAGGCATAACACGCAGGGCCAACCCGGCCCGATTGAGTTGAGTGTATCGCCCTGCAGCTGCCCTGGGCGCGGGCCTGTATCTGCATGTTTTTGTTTAAGGTTTCACTGAAGACTGAAGTTTGCATCGGATTATCTCATTATCTTGATCATATAATTATAAATCACAGAACTGAGCTGAGCCAGTTAGATCTACAAATATTAGGCTAGTACAAGTTTACAACTTAGTTTGAGTCAGACTCAGAAGTAACTTAGAAATAAGGTTACGATAAATTTTAAAACAATTTTGACGGTGGTTGTCCAAATTTTATTTTAGTTTTCTCAAGCTCAATTCTCATGTTCTAACTCTTAAGACTAGATCTAGAGTAAGATTAAAAAATGTAGCCAATATGGACAAGTCAAAGTTGCATGTAGGTCTAGGCAATCTGTATTAACTGCCATGTTGTTTTTGTTTGTCGTGTGTCTGTTGCACATTTCTTTAGACTCTCGAAGCTCGGCCATGTCACCGAGAGCAGAGAGATAGATTATTATACAGATCTATAGGGTGTGTAATTGCGCACCCGGTTTTGTGTGCTAAAACTCTTCCCATAGAGATTGCGCGCAGCCCTATGCAGTCTACGCACGTAGAACTTTAGCTTACATTTAATGCATGCGCAAAATGTTCATCCGATCTCTGCGAATCACAGTCTCATTTTACTAAATTTGCGGCGACAAGGGCCCTTCTTATTGGCTATCGCTGGCTTGCATTCACTCAATGTGAATTGAATATTTGTACAAGGAGCAAGCTTGCAATTTTCCATTCAATTGATACCCAAATTATGATATTTCAGTCAAACCCTCTATTCGTTACGATTTTTCAGCATCCTTGAAAGGTTATGTATTTCACGTATTTAAGTTTAAGTCTTACGTAACTATTTTCAAAGTTTGAACAATTCTCATTTTAGTCATATTTAAAACTGAAAATTCATTCTGAAGTGTTCGTTGATTTTCTATTTTATATGTGTGTCAATGTATGTGTGAACTTGTGAAGTGCGTCACCTGTTTAAAGCATGACATGTCAAAATTCCTGTGGCGTGACGTAATATATTGACATTGCCATTGAACTTAAGTTGCGCTTAAGTTAAGTAGGCCCTCTGTCACCTTAATTCGAAGCCACTCGAGCGAATCGGCCAATGAGAGCGCGTAAACTTACTGTACAGCCCCTCCATATTCCCAAAAGAAGCTAGACTCGGAATATCTAAAAACTCTAAAAATATCTAGATCAAAACAGCGATTTAAACATCTTTTCCTTCGTAGCTCCAAGATTTGCCACTTTCATGAACCGAGCCCCCAAAGCTTAAGTTGGGCAAGCTGTAAGGAACATATCCATGCGCTCATTTTTTTTGATTGCCCCAAGGGATCACAAGCGGTTACAGTTTGAAAATACCCTTCCCCCATTTTTCGGATCAGCTACATGTAAGTAGGGAGGCATGAGCTTTGCTCAGCCCAAACACATGGTGACAGCGAGTAGAATCTGCACATGATGTATTTCACGATCGGTGCGATACAATCTTTGTGCGTGCTACCCGTGTTGCAAGCCTTCGTACACATAGTACTGCGTGTGTCCATTCTGATCTTGCGTATGTATGCATTTGGACAGCGTGTGTTTGTGAATTGGCGAACAGACCTGCACACGGGAACACAACGAAGGTGGAGCTTGCGATCGCACTCAAGTAGTGCTGCAACTAAGCAACACGCGTATGCATGCACATCGTGCGATGTGGCTGTTTAGCAAAACAAAATGATTCTGCGTGAACGTCTTTTTTGTCTATTCTGATGCATGAGCGATGTGTACATCCATTCATCCCTATGGGGTGCAAACTCGCCCAAACACTACTTTTCCACAAAATGCACCAATTTCTAAGACGTGTAATTGCTATTAGTATTACCAGTAGGGGCGCTGCACAGTGGGCCAGGGAGGAACCAAAGTGCGCCAAAACTAAGTTTGGGTGATTTTTTTTTTTCAATTTTTTTCTTGCTCAGTTGAAAGGTAATACATAGAGGAATACCTCAGTGAAATATTTAATTCCGTTATGCACAATAAGGGTATAAATTTACTACTTCAAACAGCAAAATCCTACATTTTCACAGTTTTAGTGCAAAAGTGACTTATTATATAAATCTTTCAATTCAACATGAAGTTTTTAAGTTATTGATATGAAATTGCTCTCACATATTCCTGATAGTTCATTTCGTTCAATGAATGGGTTAAAATTAATAGAAACACAATCTTCATGATATATTATAGGGTAATTCACTGAAAAATGGACTAATTATCCATGTTTTTTATAAATCCAGAAGAAATGTTTAGATCTCCGCAGTGCACCGCTTAAATTTTAATACCACCATTTCCTCTGATGTCTAAGCTTTAAGTTGATACCAAATTTGGCTGCCCGATCTTGCCCGTTGTTATGTTAGAGCCGATTTCTCTTGCCACATTGCACCGAAAAATGTGGGTTTTGGGGGTCCGCGGCTGAATCATGAAGGATTCGTGGTCATAAATCACGGCACGAGGGGGCGCGTGACACTTGTTCTGACACCGCGGACCAAAATAAACACATTTTCGGGGCAATGTTGCAAGGAAAACGGCTCTAACATAATAACGGGCAGAATCGGGCAGCCAAATCTGGTATCAACTTAAAGCTTAGACATCAGAGAAAATGTTGGTAATAAAATTTTAGCGAAAATCCCTGGAAATCCAAACATTTCCTCTGGATTTATAAAAAGAAAATCCCCAAACATGAGTTTTGGCGCACTTTGGTTCTCCCTGGCCCACTGTGCGCTGGTCCAAGAATAAAGATTGTCCGCATAAACGCGGAAAGATGCCTCCGCAAAAATAAGGATCGTCCGCATTTTCGCAGATGTTTCATATTTCGATCCTGGATTTAGCTCATGCTGCAATCATGATTATAAACCTATAGGTCAGTCAGGTACCCCATGATTTTTACAAGCAGATCACCTGTCTAATTATCAAGCTATTTATGATTGGAAATCAAAATTTCAAAATTTGTTTTCCTAATGTTTTTTATAACACTGCAGTTTATTGGGGAAAATGAGTACGGTAAAACTGGTCAAGAACGTTTATTCACCATGAATTTGCAAAATAATTAAGCATGGCTTATCGCCTCAGCTATATACATGTAGGTCAGGCCTTCTCAACTGGCGGCGCGCGCGCCACTTGTGGCGCTTGCGGTCAGTTGGAGTGGCGCCCGGCTGTTCCAAAAAATTAAATAAAAATAAAAAATTAAAAATCAAAGAAAGAAAAAATTAAAAAACTATATTTTTAAAATTTAAAAACTCAGCAATATCAAAAAGTCGCAGTTGAAGTTGAGCCCAAAATGTAAACAAGCCATTTTGGTTGTTTGATTTTCACTGGATTTTGACATTTTCCGTGTTTATTGCACTAAAATAACTACATATAAATTCACTTCCAGTGTAGATGTTACCAAGGAATTGTACTAATTATTTCACACCAATATGAAATTATGATTGATGTTTTATGGAATAAAAAGGTGTTAAAAATGCAACATCTGGACCCTAAACAAGCCCTAAAATCGACTAGCTTCCGGGGGGCTTTGTCCCCTGGACCCCACGCGGTATCGGATCGGTCGCTACGCTCCCTCTCAACACAGTGACCAAACATACAGGTTGGCACTTCAACTTCAATATACAAAAAAATTGGCACTTCTAATAAACTAGTTGAGAAGGCCTGATGTAGGTGAATCGGTCGGGTCCCCATGTTACATGTATCTTGTCACTGTAACTTTGGCAAATTGACCCCTGTTTACCCGTAATTTGGAGGGGTGCAGAAAAAGAGGTTTTAATTTGCTTTTGTGCAATAATGAAAGGGTAAATACTTTTTATGAATATTCTAAATTCATTCAGTTTGTCATTTATAAATATCAATTTTTTTTTCTACATCGGATAGCATCTTTAATGATAATAGAAACAACAAAATAAGAAAGGTTGGTAATTGTAGCATTTCAACTTCAATTCTTAATCACTCTACTCGAACCTCCACCAATAAGTCATCCTTGTTTACGTCGGCAAATCCTGTGTTGAGTGCTTGCTACCAGCACAGCTAGCTCCCATGCCATCGTAAAACAATATTGGCTGTTTATGTATGCCTGTATAGAGCTAAATGAAACTCAAGCCCCTGATGTAACAATATCTCAATCACCCCAAAAATGACAGAAAATATGTTGCGACAGACAACAATACAAGTCAGGGAAAGTGAAACCTTGCTTTAAAAAAACCCTACATAAATCCTAGAAGTATTACTGATATAAATACATTTGAAGAGCTTTGGCACAGGTGTTTTCTATAAATAATCAACTTCAAAACACTTGAATATCCCTATTTCATACCATGCTTACCGGTAGATAGTTTTGTACCCCAGCTCCAGCAGCCCAGCAAGTCTGCATGTTCAATTAGCTAATATGAAATCTCTGCGCATTCACGTGCACAAGTCAGTGTTGTGAAAATATTTTTGTGTGTGAGTTTGCCTCGTATTAGTATGTTTAACTTTAAGGCAAAAGTCATGGATTTACTACATGTCTACTTTAGAGCTCACAATCAGGGTCCTTATTTTCTAAATTGCTTCAGCTACAGGTGGGGCCTTGTCCCCCGAACCCCAACACAGTGTTCCTCTTTTTCCAGATTTTCTCTGTCTCATGCCTAAATTTTGAGACAGCAATTGATTTTTGAATTTATCAAAATCTATTGAAGAATAGTCACTGAAATAAGTTTCCTCAAATGGAGTATAGACAGACAGGTGAACCAGTACAAATGTGAAATTTTAGGTTATTTTTTTCTCTTTTTGGTTATTGCAATTGTTAAGATGAGTCATGAGGAGGGAGGGGAGTGTAGAAGTGTAATTTTGTGTTTATTTGTTTAATCTCTTCCGTTGTGTTTTTGTAACTGATTTTTTTTTCTTCCTTCTTTCTACAGGGAGTAATAAAGGCTTGATTTGTTCATGTAACGAAGAGGATTGCTTGAAGACGAACAACTCATGTGTCATCGAGACGGATCATGGCATATGTGTGTTCAGGTTGACCCGTGGCAAGTCTCAAGAAGAGATGCGATTCTTGATGTGTGAGAATGAGCCCCACGGTCCTCAAGAGAGGCTATTCTCGTGCGAGAATCCACCGCCTTCCCCCCAGTATGTGTCAGTCTGTTGCACAGAATCTAATTACTGCAACGGTGTTAGATGGAAAGATACACATCTGAATCCGATGGACCCCTTGGATCCACCACCAGGTAACTAACAATATCATTTTTAGAGAAAATATTCAACACTTTTGACTAGAGTTTCAAGCTTTAAGTTTTTGTTCTTTTTATCTTTTTATTTCTCTCCCAAACTAAAAGTGTTGTGTTAAAGATAAAGGCCAGTTCTGGTCATGGGAATGTATTGTGAAAGAAACGTTGTGGAATCGATCAGAAAAGGTTGATCATCTAGCATATAAGTATTGGTGTGTACTGCAAGATTCTGGAATCATCAAAATGATAAGAAATTTGGGCCAGTCTTTGTAAAGTTACAAGCACTGTACACTGTATATATGGGACTATCCCACACTTTCGTGACACGTGCGCAATATCAATCACGTCCAAATAGATATAATAATGTACCAAATATATCAATTAGTAGGCGGTTTCTTGGCAAAATTTGTATCATCACATATTAGTCGAAACATATTCTTTCACATGACCTATAAATGTACTTGTGTTGGATCGTACCCTCAATCAAGGTTATTTTCTGTACAACCTACATAGGGTTGTATGACACATGCTCTGGCAACCCTAGGCGCGTCCTCATCATCTCGAGATTGCCAAACAGCCCGCTATTTCTGATTTGGGAAATAATCCCAAAGTAACAAATCGTGTCTTCACTATCTCGAGATTCGACTTCGAAACTTGAAACACAACTTTGAGTAATTAGCTCGAGATATTTTGCCCAGCGTTAGCGCGTCTTGCGAATCTTGGGTCTAGTAAAGACGCACGGGACAAATAGCTGGATATTTTGCCAAATAGTAGGACATTTTGCAAACTATCCCAAGATATCTTGGGATGACAATCCTGACCAAATATCCTTCTAATTGCTACTCCGGTCTGATGAAGACGCAAATTAGCTGGATAGTTTGCGATCGGTATGGTTCAAATAGCTGGATATTTGGCAATCTCGAGAGAGTGAAGACAGGCCTACTGGCTCCACAATCAATATGCTTCACTAACCAGATTCCTCACTTCAACCTTGGACCAAGCACTAGATTTAACTATAATGCAAACCCTAAAACTAACCCCAAATCCATTCAATTTCAAGTTATTTATGTTTCCAACAAAATATTACAAATCAATTATAAAAATTTACAACAATTAAGGAATACATATTGGAAAACCTATATTTTCGTCAAAAGAGCAATTGTCGCTTGTCGCTGGAGAAAATATTGGAGCATCCCTGCATATACCAAGGTCCAAGGTCTACTTGTGTGTACTAAGATAAAGAAAGAAAGTCTAGAATTGTCTAAAATATTGATTATTAACCTGTAATTCAAGAGTTGAAGCTTGTATTAATCTATTTGCATGTCATAAATTAATTAGAGATGCAAAATATAGTTTGAATATATGTAAGTAAATGACTCCAAATGAGCTTTACATCTTTCCATTCTTTCCTTGTGCAATTTTTAGTTTGATACATGTTTTCAATTATTTTATTGTTATTATGAGAAAAAAATCACTTTGTACAAGAATTTAGCTTTCTTTGTAAAAAATGATCTCATTAACAAACATTTGTTGCTTTTTATCAACAATATTCTGCATGTGAATTAACAAACTTTTTAATCGAGATTGCAGTCATGTATTCATACATACGAGAGGCAATTTTGGAAAGATTTCTTTTTGTTTTTTTGCACAGTTTGTTTGATGTCTCAATATCTCATAGAGTGGCAGGAAGTGAATAAGCATGATAATTGATCAATCACGAGGCATTAGTTATTTTAACAAGAAGCCTAACTGAGTTCACTGGGCCCCTGTGTTGTTCCTACGTGTAGTACAGCTTGACAGGTGCGACAATACACTTTAAAGGGGGACCAGTCACTCAATTTTTGTTTTGCTTTGTGAGTTTGGGGTTCCATTTTGATATTCTCCAGTTTGCGTGTGTGTTCAGGTACATGTACCGCATTGTAAAGATGAATTTGTTATAGTATCGCACCTTCAAAGAGCTGTTACAAGTTTTGGTAAATATTATAAAAATTATTTTAAATTAAAGGAAATCGCAACTTGAGAGTAATGGACATAATTAATGTTCATGCAAGAAAACTTCGCATAGAATTAACTACTGTGCATTAGTTATTATTATATTTTTGATCAATGAAATCAAGGTCAGTGATTGGTCAACATCGCATCATGTGACCAAACATAACATTGCTATGATGTTACCAATAAGAAAAATGTGCTATACCGTGATGTCATCCATGGTATAGTGCTCTATTATACCATGGCACTACATGTACATGTATACCATGGATGACGCCATATATGCGATCGATCAAGATCAATGTGATATCGGTGTCGGCCCGGTCCTGGTACATTGTACGGTCGTCTGCGCTGCTCTCACTGCACTCAACACTACTTTAGTGACAATATACATTGTCATTATTATTATTATTATTATTAATATTTTTATGAAGGTTGGTTTGAAAAATATAAAAAGAAATATATTATGCACTATTTCAAGCCACTAGTGAAATTATGGATTCCTCGGCGACAGAAATAGCACTTTTTTCTTCGGGGCTATGCCCCTCAAAAAATAGTGCTATTCCTGCCACCTCGAATCCTCGATCCATAATTTTAGCTAGAGCCTCTCAGTGCATGGTATATTTGTTTACTAGTAGTTACTCCTATAAAATATGTCTCAATTTTTTTGCAGTGTAATTGCTCACTCTGAAAACATCAGTGAATGGTTCATGGCCACATGAATCTCTAGTCCCATGCAGAGCAACAACAAGTCATGCATGCATACCAAAAAACCTACATGTAAATGAGCAAACAACAAAAGTTGTTGTTCAAAGGTTTTTTTTTCAGTAGTATAAATGGCATGAAAAAACACTGATGGTTTTTCAAAATGTTTTATGGGCTGTGTAAATGGGCCTATTGTGTACATATTTTGCATCTTTTAAAAGATTGTGTGCACAGTCGACCTGGACTGCAAGACCTTGGAACCTTCATAGCTTCTACGAAAAAGAGCTTTGCTTTGTATAAAGTGGTCACTTAACGAGCATTGGTGATAAACATACACACAACATACATGTACATGCATGCTCCCAGGCTACTGGGGTGCAGAGCAGTGCCTGCTGGCTTTGTATGCTCCCCTCATAACATCATAGCACCAACAGCAGTGCACAATTCATTGTGAGCTAGCTCACTGAGCTGTACATTCATGTAGCGCCAAATTACACACATCAATCGCAGCAAAAGGGTGCATTGCATTCAAAGGGTTTGCATGTGTAATTGTGCGGTTTCAACCACATCGCACATTAGTAATTCAGCTCCCCACTACATTTATTCCATTGTGAAGTACATGGAAACATATTCTCCATGCTCTGTATAATGCACGTACATGTAGTCCCACATAATGCAGACAATTACATCTCAAATCATTATTCACCATGGCAGAGCTCTGGTTTCATTTTTCATCCACATTTACATACAATGCCAACTGTTTCCATGGTTCTGTTACTATTTGTCTACTCTACAGAGAATAAATTGTGACTAATATCTCTGATTCTGATATGGGAAAAAACAAACACACACACACACAAAACAACACACTTTCTTTGACCTAGATTTTAAACAAGGTACATGTATATTGTGTAGATTCATATCAAATGAATGACAAATGGTCCTTAACATGTAGGAGGTATAGCTCAACGTGGTTGAACTGACAGTCCATTAATACAACATGGAAGGCAAAAAGAGATTATAATAATTCTAGAATCTAGAATCTCAATATTGATCAGCTCCACCTTTTTTTTTTTTTGGGGGGGGGGAACATGAGCGGTTTGTGCCCCCGTTACATATTTAAATCTTCTGCTGCTATCAAAATTGTTCACATTTTTGTTACAAATTTTAGAGTATGCTTTTTTCCAGTTAAATTTGAGATAGTTTTACTAATCAGAAAGTTACGTCTTGAAAATTATCCTGGATGAAAAGTGCATTTTACAATATTCTGTTAATTTTTTGTTGTGAACTTGAAGTCTATTTCATTTTTTTTCTTCTCTGTCATGATCAGATGGGATGCTCTGCACTTAAAGTGTCATAATCTGGTCACTTTTAGAGCAGTTCACAATCATGTGAAAATAGATACACATACATGTAGGACTAGGAGAAGAAAGAATGGAAACGTAGTGGAAGGGGGCCTACATGTACATGTATTATGGACAGGCAACGGAGAAGCTGCTAAAAGATCCAGTGCACTCCTTCGCCGAAGCATGAATGTGTTGATGAATGCCTTGATACATGGTCTAGTACATGCACATGCACATACATGTTCGTGTATATGCTAGCTAGTATATGCCAATACATGCACAATGAGACACGATGTAGTAGTGTGTTTGCGCGCTCTCACAACCCCAAGCTTGATAATGTTGAAGACTGAGCATGGATGTAAACATTGGCGATGCCATTACTCATGGTCAAATACATGTACATGTATGGGATACATTTTATTTGCTCCTCCCTCTCTATGTATATGTTTGTTCTTCATGAGATGAGATGAGTTGTGAAAGTCAATATTTTGTTTTGAGGGGTGGTAAGGATCGTGATATTTGCAGTAGCTTTAGCACCTGTAAGACCTTGAGATGCTGAAGAAAGGATACTGTATGAATGGGAACTACAAGTACAGTGTCAATGTCAATATTGAAAATGGGTTGGTTTTGTCTGCCTGCACAAGGCCAGGGCGAATGAGATGTGTGCCCTCTGTAATGGGAATTTCCAAGTTATATATTGTCATGACATTAATAAGTTGGTTTCACTTTCATGATAAATGATTGTCATATAATTTAGAGACCTATCAATCATTAAACATTGTATTTAATTTATTCAATCAGCTTTTTTTTTATTGATGATTTTTTTTTAAACAGCCAAATGGCCAAATTGTAGATTTGTTTACAATCAGAATAGATAAAATGTACATGTATACATGTACATAAATTAATGATTTATTAATATCAGTAAAAATTCAACATTTTGAGTACATATATACTGGTACATGTAGTGAAGATAAACTACATAATCCAGGCTATCAATACAGGCTTGTAGTACGCCTTAGGGTCACTATAGGCATAGCAACAGGTTGTGACAAATTCCAGCAAAATAGATGTAATAGACATGTGTTTCAATTGGTTGTTGCCGAAATTGTACGGTTTTGTGAAACACTGCCTTGCGTATTGCAGAAAATATATTGCAGAAAATAAGGAAACAGTTTTGGAATCAAATACTTTAGATCTCTTTCAGGCAATATAGAATGTGTGCTGTAAACTACCGTAATTAACGGTGTATAAACCGCCCTCGTGTATTAACCGCACCCCTCTTTTTTGCCCTAAATTTTTTTTTTTTTTTTTTTTGCCGACTCTGTCGGCAGCAAGCCAGATCCGTGTTAAAAAACCCAAGCGGAATCATTTAACTGCGAGGTGCAGCTGAATGTGTAAGATCATTAATGTAAATTAAAAAAACAGGGGACCTACATGTAGGATAGAACCTTGTGGACGTAGAAGGTTATGAATTTATAATCATTGGTCAACCAAGAATAAACAGACTGAGTGGATGGCAGATCTGAATTATAATGTATATTTAATAATTAGGTTGTGTATTAAACTATCCAGGTCAGTAGTTGGTTAGCAGGAAGTTTCTGGCTGCAACACAAAGACATTGATGCAGTCGAGTACTTACAATTTATAATTGCTTTGCAGCACTTGCTTCCATATCGATTTGCTTTTTGATTGATAAAGGCCTTGATATAACATATACATGTAGGTTATCCTCTTAAGATTGTTCCGTAAGAATGAATATGTAGTCAGGACTTATAATTATTACAGAGTTTAAAGAATGATTATTTTTTGTTTAAGGATCCGCTCAGTGAGATTGTCTTCTTTTTTTCTATTGAGATTTACGAAACAAAAAACCACTTCCATTTGTCATTTTCATGTGATGTATTTGATTTGAAATAATCATTTTTTTTAAAGTTAGATAAATCTTCAGAGCACTGCCACCTCCACCTCCCTAAAAAGGAAAAATTGACTGAAATGACGATCCTTAGTCACATATCTTATGCAAGTTTCCTTTGAAACTGAACAGCTCCCTCTTTGGCAGGTGTTTGTTCATCTCGGATGTGTGTAGGGAGGGCCCTTTATCCTTTTTTGTGGGTGAATATTTGAGAATGTGAGAGAGGAGCTAGACCAAACAGGATCAGCGTGGAAATTATCACAGGAAATTGGCGTCTGGAAAGGAGACATCTCTTCCTCTGTCTCAAGAGAAATTAAAGAGAGTCTTATCCCTTATTCAATGCATCATCGACCCTTAAAATTGTAATGAGCCCCCATGAGCTATAAAATATCAAGTACAGTGAAACCTGTATATAAAGACCGCTCAAGGGAAACAAAAAAAAAGTGGTCTTTATTGAAAGGTGGTCTTTGTATACAGGTGGTAGCTCGAGCAGGTTTGACGGTTCAATTTAGGAGTTTAAACAATAATACGACACTTACATCTATTATCTGTATCATGATCAATGAACATTTTAATGTAAGACAATATAGAACAATGTAAATAATAACAAAATATCAATACCAAAAACAATTTGAGTGAGTAAAACAAAAAACTGTGAGTGGTTGAGGAGGTCGAATCAGATGTGACACAACACCAAATTTGTACAATGTAAGAAAGGTTTTTCCACAAAAAGTACATGTACATGTATAATATGCACTGGGCAGTGTAAGTGTCACTTTATGATTTTCTAAAGTTTCATGTCAAAAAAGTTTCTGTTAATTTTATAAGAAGTTCTGAAAATCTTGTAAGCTATTCAGGAATCTCATAAAGTACAATGTAGGGTTATCCTTTGTATACGATATGTAGCATGAGTATAATTTCCATGTGTACATGTACATGTCAGCTTATTAAAAAAAAGATCTGGTTATGAATAATTGTAGATACGTACATGTACATGTACAGGTACATACATTTATATTCCACTGTGTTTCTGACATTGCTTTGAAGTACATGTATGCATCCGTTATTCCGCTACTGGTGTAGGTCTACTTATTTGAATTCTTTACCGTATGGATAGTAGAGAAATGATTTATCAACTCTACATCTACATGTAGGTGTAGGCGGCCAATACATACAGTGTAGGAAAGTTACCTTTGTGTCTTCTCGTAAAGGGAAAATAATGATTTTAATTGAAAGTTGAAGTGAAATTTTATAAAGAAAAGATGGAGTTCTACATGAAGGGTTATTCAAAGGCAAACAAAAACGAGTAGATAAACAACAGTGAAAAGTAAAACAATGATATAATTAATAATTAAAAAAAAGGCAAAACATGACGAAACAAACACCGAATTTATATTTACATCAGATATTGTACAAAGTACATGTACAGTAAATGCCTTCATATGGAGAAGAATATTACAGTGTAGAAATTTATCCTGTACATGACACTTGACCTTTAATCTTTGTCAATTAAGGTCAGAAGATGAAGTGAATTCCTGCTCGTCCTGTCCTCTCAGCATTCGTGTCAACCCACAAAAAGTCTGGTAGGAAATCTAATAACCGGGAAAAGCGGTGACTCAAGTTTCCTGTAACTCGTATGTTTTGAGGAAAAATTCACTGAAGTGTTGTTTCAAATCAGCTGCGTTGTAGGGAGCGGCCATTGTTCACGACATGTTGTGTATGGGCGCGTACAAGCACATTTTTTTAGTAACTTTGTAACAAAGTTCTGTCTGTTTGTGAGGTTAACTATCATTGTCTAAACTAACATTGAACTACACATTTTCAGGAGAATCTCTTGTGTGCTTATACTTTTGAGAATATAGTGTTATGTTTTTGTTGGAGACACAGACTATGAGCAGCTACCTGTACATGTAAAGTCGTCACGGTTTGGGCATCCATCGCGTCATGAAAACCTTTTACATGTACATGTACATAGTTCTACAGTACAGGGGGATACTGACTGCAGTTCATTGTGATAGTTTGATAACTTAACTTTGACAAATGAGATTTCATAGCATTCATAGATATCTTCAGCATCTTCTCTGTGAATGTACACTATAGCTATATGTACTGTATGATCGTACAAAGGAGTACAGGTTTATTTGTCAAGACCAGTTTGGAGGATCTCTTACATTTGCATTAAAACAGAGACTTTATTGGATTTAAAGAGAAAATAGTGCACTGTAGCAGGAAAGATGTCCACCACGCCAACCAAACAATTTAGTTCAAAGCGTGGAAACACCACGGAAACGACCATGGGTACGACCATGGGGACGACCATGGGGACGACCACGCTCTCCATGAAAGACCTGCTTCTCTACCACAGAGAAAAGACTTACAATCAATCTCTTCTCTCTCCTCCCCCTACCTACCCGCCCGATCTAGACCAATGCAGGCAGGTTCCGCAGCGAGGACCGTGCAACATGCAGGAGAGGCGTTACTTCTACAACGTAACGAGCTCTAGCTGTCAGGAATTCAGCTACGGTGGGTGTGATGGCAATGACAACCGCTTCATGGATCAGGAATCATGCATGGATGCATGTAAAGGTATGTCTCAGTCTCGTTGCCCTTTTTCCCTATTTAGGCTACCTAAATTTATTGTATGGCTGTACCAAAATTGTATATCTCTATGGTAAGTAAGTAATTTTTTCCAAGCCTCAACATTGTGTAACAAAATGTTGTATAATAAAACATGGTTTAGCGAAGCGCATGTTTGAGCATTGTTTTGAACGATAACTTCATACAGGATTGGGGTTATGTCCTAGTCAGAATGCTATGTCATATAAAAATTGTATAACTGGGCGGTGCTTACTGTAAGTGCACACTGATGATTAGCCACCTATTCAAACATGACGATAATGTGATTGTGAATCATTATAGGAAGACGATCTGATTAGATTTTGGTTAAAATTCCTGAAAATACAGGTTTAAGCCTCATTATCACAATATGTCAAGAACCACTTGCGGTATGAACTTTAAACTTGGTGCAAGACCATGAATACTGTATCACCAAAGGAAGACAAGCTGATTAGATCTTGGGAATGGATGAATAGGTAAAAGGTCAAAGATCATAAAGGTCAAGTTCCTTGAAATCTTAGGATTTTAGCCTTGTTATCGAAAGGCATCAAGTACGATTTGAGCCATGAACTTCAAACATGTTACAAGTGTGCAGCACCACAATAAGACAAATTGATTACGGTAGATTTGGTGCAAAAGAAGGTCGAATGTCAAAGGTGAGTTTGTCAATTCACTTGAAATTAAAGGTTTTTTTTAACCTTGTTATGACTAAATCAATAACTATTTTTAGTTGTGAACTCGGAACCTGTAACCAGTATGCATCACTGTAGGGAGCAAAGTGATCAGATTTTGGGATTGTCAGGTCAAAAGTCAAAGGTTTTAAATATCAATCAACTTGTAAGTAAAGGCATTTTGTGCTCGCTGTGGCTGATATTCCAAGAATAATTCAATACCTTGATCTGAAATGAATATAGGCAGAGGGCATATTGGAGATGCAGTCGCATTTGTCTTGTTTTTCATGAGTTAATTGAAGGCATGGCTCCATCCTAACTGTTTTGTTGGGGGTCCAGAGTGGAATTTTAGGGTCTGTATGCATGAGCCTCCTGTTAACATTTTTTAAATGAAGGGGTCTAGGTCTAGAGTGCTGAGTAGATAAAAATGACAATCTAAAAAACAATTAAGAGAGAGAGAGAGAGAGAGAGAGAGAGAGAGAGAGAGAGAGAGAAAAAAAAAAGGCGAGTAGAAGAAGACAAGAAAAAGAGCTCTTCAAAAATAATTATTAAAAAAAAGAAGAAGAGGAAAGCTGACCCTCTTTCCCTTGATAATTAATATTTTAAAAAGTGATTTCATCCCAATATATCAGTCATGTTAGCTGTGCCGCCAACTCGTAAATTATGAAGCCGTAACTATGAAGATGAATCAGTTAAAGTCATGCCGTTGGTATTTAATCAGCTTTGCCCAGGTTTTGAAGGATGCCTGCCCACTATAGTCTGTATGCCCCAGGGTGATATGCAGTACTTCTGAGAAATGCATGGCTGCATGCTCATACTGCTCCAGAAGGAATCGTCTCTTTCACTCTTCTGTACACCTGCCTGACCCCACCCCAAATTTATCATCTCTATTGTCTCACAAAATATACCGGTAGGTCCTTTCCTCTCCTTCCCAGGCTTCACAGCTATGTTGAAATTTGTCTCTCCCACATCCTTCCGGTATTTCCCCTTTAGAGCAGTAACAAAGGAGTACATTTACATCTAGTTTGTTGCGACAGTCGTTTCATGAAATACAATGTTTATCTTTGAAAGTTTCAAATAAATTATGGAAACACCAATGCAGTGAACTTTGAACAATGTAGGCCGATGGACATGTAGAAACTGTCACTTATTTCTGATGGCCATTTTTGCAAGGTGCCAAATTTTGTGGATCAATTCGATTATTTTTTGGCTTGAAAATCCCCCAAAGCTCATAAAAAGTTCATATAACCGGTATGAGAAAGGTTATAGTTTTGCAGCAGGCAAATACTATACATGAATTAACCGTGAAAGTAAGAGCTATGATTGGATCGGATGATTGAATCAGAGGTAAATCGGATGATTTTAGCACTTTAAGACCTAAAATCACTCATACCATGGACAATTCTCTCATTCGAGCAACAATTGAGTCACCATTTTGGATTATGATGACAATGGAGAAAAAAAAATGTGTTGTCATTATAATATGATAATTGAGGCTCTTCTGTTTAGACTAATCTGTATTAATATCAAATTCATGAAAAGGCACTGAATATCAACGAGGATGGTCTACAACAACTCCAAATGACAAAATATTCTCGACTATGTTTCTTTTAGTGTTTGATACTTTGATAGCCCATAACTTGAACATTTTCTGTTTTTCTGAATACTTTCTGATCATTTTTCATTGATCGGTGAGCAGAGTTTATCATCTAATTTATTTACATCGGCCAGCAATTGGCCCCCGATCCGATTATGGGTTAACATGAACATACATGTATACATGTATATATCCCTTACCCTACCTTAAACTGTATATTTTGTGTTCCAGTGTGATACTAGTATATTATGAATAGTTCTTTAGGCTAATGATTCAAATCATGTCACAATGTCAAATGTCACACTTATGATGGAATTTGAGGGAGGGGGCTAAACAAGGAAGGGTGTGCATGTGTTCAGGTCTATAGTTGAAGATGATGTTTTAGTGACGAGATGGGAAAGTTACATGTTCTTGTACATGTAGTTGCAAAGGATTATGGGGAAGACAGACTTAGGCCATTTAAAAAAATATACATGTTTAGCGTCCCTGCCCGCTTATTTTTTGGGGGCCGCCTCCTATTTTTTTTTATTTTTTATTTTTTTTATTTTTATTTTTTTATTTTTTATTTTTTAAAATTTTAATTTATTTTTTTTCTTCAGAATAAAAACATGAAAAACACTGCTTAAAGGTACTATGTCCCTTTTGCAGCCAACCTCAAATTATGAATATGTCATGTATGTCCTATCTGTGAAATTAAAACGTTAGCAGTGTCCTCATATTCAAATTATGCAAGGAAAACCGTTTACTTGCTAGACTTCACTGTCAGACACTATTGAGTGAGTGACTGGCTTTTTTTCTTCTTTGGTAATAACATACATGAAAAGAGTTGTAAAGGGTACATGAGTATTTGTCTACATCAATAACCCACTTCTTGTGATGGCCAAGATTAAACTGATTGAATCTTTGCGCAGCATAAAACGTATGACCATTCGGTACAATTGTCTGAAAATCAAGACTATTACTTTTGGGCTCTATAGCCCTAAAGTCGATTTGACAACTAATAGTTGTTATTTTCCCACTTGAAGACATTTTCAAGCCCCACCTTTTTTAGGGAAGTTCTAAATTAGTATTATCTTTCAAATGCAGTTGGAATTTAACTTTTTCATTTTTTGGCCTGCAAATGGGACATAGTCCCTTTAAATGGATCTATTTCTGATTTAAAAAAAAAAAATGTTGGGAAAATGTACTGAGCGGCCGTTTTGAGCGGCCATTTTGAGCAGCCATTTTGAGCGGCCATTTTGAAAGGGGAAAAAAAGAAAAGGGCCTCCTCCTTCCTATTTTTCAAAAAAGCAGGATGTTAAACATGTTTTTTTTATTATTTGGCCTTACATGTATTATTGTACATTGAACATGTTGTTGGCTTTCGGTATACATAACAAACAGGTAACAGCCACATGTGCAATACACATGGCCTTATCCTGCCCTTATCCTGTCGTCATTTAGGGTGAGACAATAGACCCACATTGTCTTGGTCTCCACTGGCTCTGTGACCTTTATTATGACAAGGTCATGGATGGAAGGATTTGGCTAATCTTGTCTAGACTTGGTAGTTTTCTTGTGTGAGTTCAATGAATGTCTTTATCTGCTTGCTAGCAATTGATGGTATATTATGTAACCATATTCACAGACAGTATTGATTTGTTGAATGCTTAACAGCCTCTTGACTGGGGGGGGGGGGGGGTGAGATTTCATGATTTATGCTAACAAAATAGAAATTCAGTGTTTTAAGCATATACATTTTCCCCAGACTTATCATAGTCCTTTGACCTACATGTACTTAGTTCACATTGCGAAACTGCTCCAGATATTCCCAAAGGTTATGTGGGAAGGATCATGATTACTTTTCTTGAAAAAAATCTGGAATAATCTATGTTTTGTCTGGCTTTTATAATATTGAAGATTACTTTTTATCACTGAGCACCATAGTCTAGGTTTTTTGATTGTCTTGAAAGTCCATGTACATGTACATGTAGATAAATATGGAAATAGTCGGTCTACGGGATTAGATGTATCTGGGAATAAGATCATCGAGGGAATACTAAAAAACAGAGTTCTTACTCAACTTCAGACTTATTCAATTCTCAATTTCCAACTAAGGATGGGATTGGAGAGTGTACAGTACATGTAGGTCTATAGTTGATAATGATTTAGTGATGAAAGAGAAAGTTACGTACATGTACATGCATTACATTCTCTTGCACCAGACATGTAGCTGTGTATGTTTATAGTACATTCTTTAGGATTGAGTTATTAATTGTACAATGTAGTTGTTCCAAATAAATGTGCATATATGTACATGTACATGTACATTGTCAATGATGTTGAATTTTAAGAAACTCCTCTCAGCAATTATATATGAGAATTATCAAAAAGCAAAAAGCTTTTTTTTTGTAGACCTGGAAAAATCATTGCTTTCAGTTTCTTATGTCTGAGTCAATAACCTTTGATGTCAATTTTCCTCTTCAATTTTCTTTTTAATCATCTTTCTGAAACTCCAGATTACCGGCCTGGGGGACCTCAGTCAGAAATCAGCATTGCTGGTGTGGCGGCGCTCGTGGCAGGACCCATCTGTTTGATCTGTATATTAGTGACAATCTACCTCCTGCTTAGACAGAGCCCAGGATGCAGGGATGATGGTCATGATCCGATAGAGAATCATGGATCCAAGGACAAGCTTATCCAATCTAGCAATCTCCGTGATCTGGTGGATCCAACAACATCTGGATCAGGGTCAGGTAAATCAAAGAAAATAATGAAAGTAAAGATAAAAATGATCCAAGGAAAGAAAAATCAATGCAATTGCATGACCAGAACTCAACTTTATCTTTAAGTTTTAAAAAAGGGCAGATGAGGTTAAGTGTTTCCAAGGATATGGGTCATTCTTCAATTGCCTGAATTCAGTTCTTTGTTTCATCAGTACATTCTAGGACTTCATGAGCAACGTTAAAAGAATATCTTCAAACATAAATAGTATACAGGTAAATCATTGAGCACTCACTCACGGCACAATATTTTCAGACTTGTCTGGTCATTCCCCTCAATGGGTTGGATTAATCAGTCAGTCTGTCTGCTCCACTCCAATACATTATTAAAGATAGATTAGCAGTAGCAGGTGGTTGCTACTAATCTTTTATGATAGTCTAAATCTCGTCTTGGCTCATGATATATCTTTATAGATTGTTGTGTTTTGAGAAAAGCCCTGTTGAGTTGTTGAAGGGATGATAATAAACTTTTGTGAATATGTGATTGGGGGGGGGGGGGTGCAAGATTATGTGGGCAGTGACATATGTTTGCATGGGGAATCTTGTGAAATTACTCTAGTAGTTGTGATTTTAAGAGTTATCCACACCATAAATCCAATACAATTCTTATTCAAAGACAGATATTATTAAGTCTTGCAGGCAATATTTTCCTGTGAATTTTTATACGAATTGGAAAAAATTAAGTCCACGCTGACACTTGTAGCAGCTAAACTTGATAATCAGTAAGATTTATATGTGTATTATAGTGGCAGTAAGGCTTCCAAACAATGTAGTAGATACCCATAAGGTCAGATAAACAGTAATCATCTCTGATAACTACCTCCCATGTACTTGTCCGAGGATAACTAATTATTTTAAAGAAAATAGTTGTATGTATGTGTGGGGAGGGGCCCATTTACACATGGAGATCATTGGCATACAAGGTAATATTCTGAGAGGTGGTAGTAATATACTGATACAGTGAAAATGTAAGCTTGTCAGAAAATTGTTTGCATATCTCTGACTTTAGTGTATTACCTTGTGAAATGTGGATACCAAAAGATCACTCTTTCAATTTGAGGAGAGACGTTGAAGAGATAAAATACGATTCCACGAAGAAGCAGTAATGATACACAGATAACTTATCTTTCTCTGGGGTATTCTTGTGACCTATGACCTCAGAAAATTCACAGGAAAACAATCCCTAAATTTTTCCAGGGAATTAATAATATCTGTCTTTGAATAAGAATTGTATTGGTATTATGGTGTGGATAGCCTACGACCTCAAAAAGATCACTCTTTCAATTTGAAGAGAGACGTTGAAGAGATAAAATATGATTCCAGAAAGAAGCAGCCAAAATACAGGATAACATGTCCTCTCTAGGGTATTCTTCTGATCGACCTATGACCTCTAAAGTATTGGGATATGAGATAGTTAGCATTAAGAGCCCTGCAGACACTGGGTTCTGCTGAATACAGTACAGCGAGTGCTCCTAGATGGAGAATTTGAAGAATGTTGGAGTCCAGCTTTACCAAATATTTAAGAGAATCTGACTTGAATGAACTTAAACTGAATTGATGTGCTGTATGTGGGTTGGACAGTCCAGCATATAATATAAACAAACCAATGACAGTCATGTTTACTGAAAATCACATCTTGCATTTGCACGAAGGAGAACTTGGGTCAACCCCAATTCTTTCTACATTTTTTGTGAACTATTTTTTTGGTCATAACTTTCCTTAAATATCTTTCAAATTCAACAAAGTCTCCTCACATTAATATTTTAGGTCATATTGATTGACACATAAGGAAGAGATAAACTAGTTTTATTCATCCTTTTGAAGGAAACTTAGCAGTTATTTATTAACTTTTGAATTTTTTGAAACTTTTGCTCAATATTTTTACCCCTCTACTTTCAATGTCTCATTGTTCAAAATATCAAGCTGATGTAAGACATAAACAAATATAACAAGGTTCTCTCGTTGTTCATTTGTTCATGACAAATAACTTAACATTTTTAAAATTCTACTCTCTTTTAAATAGGCTTACCCCTGCTGGTCCAGCGTACCATCGCCCGTCAGATCGTCATTCAGGACTGCATCGGTAAGGGGCGGTACGGTGAGGTTTACCGGGGTAAATGGCGGGGCGAGTCGGTCGCCGTGAAGATCTTCAGCTCTCGGGAGGAGCGGTCATGGTTCCGTGAAGCAGAGATCTACCAGACAGTGATGCTGCGTCATGAGAACATCCTGGGCTTCATTGCTGCAGATAATAAAGGTATGCAATGAGCGTCGCTGAGTGGGATGGTGGCTTCCACAGGGCTATATTCGGAAAGTTAACTTCATTTAAAGCCAATCTGCACTAGTTTGGCCAGGGGGGATTAGACCTCCCAGCAAGGTCACTGATAGGTGGTTATCTCATCAAATCAGCTCTCAATTAACATAAGAAACAGGGGATCATGGGGGAACCAACAGGCATCGATTATGCATTGTTCGCTATATAGAGGGCGCAAGTACATGTAGCTATAAGTAGTGCAGTGGGGCTTTAAAAATGTTGTATGGTGAGAGTTGTTTTGGGTGTATGGGTGCATTCCTGTAGAAGGAGATTTTGAAGTCTGTTTGTGCTTAATTAACTAGTGGACCTGAGTGCAAAGTTTACAGCACAATTAAATGAGCTTCCTGAATACACCCCCAAGATGTAGAGGAACATCTCAAAGGAAACCTCAATCCAATGTTTCATCGGGTGTGATCCTAATGCACTCTTTACAATGAGGGTATGACTATATTTTGGAGAAGAAAAAATTGTGATCGTATTAGAAATGATATCTTAGTTATGAATGATATCATACTGAATTAGGCCTCGAATGGTGGTATGAAAAGCTTACTTAGGAAATGGAGGGAAAGTCCTCAAAAAAGCCCAGTAGGATGTGAATTGTGCCAATCAGACTTTATCTCTGATTAGAGAGCTTGAAATGTATGGCAATTTTGAATCCTTGTCAATTTGCTAGGGCCTTTTGGAAGAGCATTCATTTTCAATTACTTGGTCACTTAGAAAGGATATAAAGCTTTAAGTTGACTAGTTGCTTGTCTACAGGCCTCTACTTGCTTTCTGGGCAGTTGGGTTAATAAAATCATCATTTTTGCAGGTAAAGGAGTCTATATAGTACACACTATTGCACACTCATACAAAGCTGCCAACCATTTCTACTTTGGAGGAATGATTCCTATTTTTGTAGCATTCAAGCTTTTGTTTTTAACCCTTGATTCCTCTCTTTTTCTGAAAACTTCTGTTTAAAGAGTACACATATTGGACTGTATTCCTATTCTTTGTGAGAGTTTCCTAATTTTTGCTGTGAAAGTAAAATGTACAAATGATGTTTTTCATTCATTCATTCATCTGTTTATTTAACCATCAAAATGTATATATACAATCAAAATAAGTTGCATCAAAAATTTAGCAGAACACAAATGATGGTTTGGTGACCGCAGAGAAAGCAGGGCTTATAAAAAGGGGCCACCAAATTGAAATACACAAAAAGATTTCATATTTTTTATCTGAAATATTCACCTTTATTTTCCCAGATAATGGAACATGGACCCAGCTGATCCTGGTGAGTGATTACCATGAAAACGGTTCCCTCTTTGACTACCTGAACTCCCACGTGATTGATGTACCAGGGATGCTGAGGATGGCTCTGTCCATCGCTACTGGGCTGGCTCATCTACACATGGAGATCATGGGCATGCAAGGTATGGTAGCTTGGAAAGGGAAAAGGAAATCTAATCAAAACTATGTACATGTATGGTTGGATGAGAGTTAGAAGGACGTTAATGCTTTTAGAAGTATATGAATTGATACTCTTCTTGTTCTCAAAAGATGATGAAGACTGCTTGAGTTTTAAAAAAGTGGTTGTCATAGGTGGTCTAAATATGTACAGGGATAGTTGTCAAAAAGTGGTCTTTACAGACAAATGGTATTTTTTCATTGTTATTTCTAAAAACAGATTCAACCATATTCACCCATATATTTCTAGAGAATACTGGGTGCCCCATATTATGATAATAAATAATAATAATAATAATAGTGTAAATCTATAGAGCGCACACACCGTCCAGGGACGCTCATGGAGCTAGCTCAGCAACAGTTCTCTTTAATACAAGTAAAGTAAATGTTTATTATGTTGTTGAAGAAGACATAAAAATAGTCAATTTCTTATCAGCTGAAAACAGTCATGCATATGATGGAAGTGTGGGAAAAATAGTTATTCATCTGACTAACTCCAAGGATTGTTCCTTCATAGTCCATGATATATTTTCCCTATCACAATGAAAAGAGTTTGCTATCATCAATGACTGTATTGTGGTCAGTTAAAAAGTATGCCTTATTATTTAAAGCTAATCACACACCTATAGCTTTGGAAATTTCACCTTAATTAATACTTTTGGAGTATTATTGGGTTTGGTAACCATAAAGAAATATTATTGTATCTAAATCAAATCAATTTTCCAAGATATATATAAATATATATGTAACCAATCCCTTTTAAATCTGTTGGATATCAATTGCAAATTTTAATTATTGATTAGTAAATTAGTGGCTTTGTGTGAGTAGTCAGAACATGAATTTTATGACTAGACCACATTTGTTTGCTTGTTTGTTTCTTCAGGTAAACCAGCCATTGCCCACCGAGACATCAAGTCCAAGAACATCTTGGTCAAACGTAATGGCCAGTGTGCCATAGCTGACTTGGGGCTAGCGGTCAGACATGACTCTGTGACAGATACGGTGGACATCTTCCCCAACAATCGCATAGGTAATTTCAACCATTTCAAGATGGTTGTTCGGAGGTTGTGGTGGAGATTATTAAAATGATGATGGGGTGGTTTGTGATGGTGGAAGCATGGTTCTTTGCAAGATGTTTTATTACCTTGGTCCACATTAAGTGAACTGGCTCAGCAGCATCCCATAGGAAATCCTCTCAGTGCACCATTTTGGCAGGTTGAACATTTGCATTGCCCTTGTCAAGGGGGATGAGGGGAGTTATACATACTTTTGGTATTACTCTGTCAATAGTCCCCTTCAGTATCTGTGTGTTATGCTCCGATGAGGTCTCTGTGATGGTGATGACGATGGTGGTGGTAATACTATTCCACTTATCATGGTGATAATGATGTACATTAAAGTCTCCATTTAATGATTTGATTGAGACTGTGCTTTTATTTGAGATGAATATACTCCTGATAACTCCCAATAAAGATGGTAATGAATCACTCTGCTTATTTGTGAAAGAATTCCCAATAAACTTTTTGATATCTATCCTGAATTTGCTTTATAAATCTTTTCTTTCCTCCAGGCACAAAGCGCTACATGGCCCCCGAGGTATTGGATGACACCATCAACATGAACCACTTTGACTCCTTCAAGAGGGCTGATGTCTACTCCTTTGGATTGGTTCTCTGGGAGATTGGAAGAAGATGTCAAGTATTTGGTAAGATTCTCACTTTTCACTCTGATCATTCAGCCATTTTTACCCAGTACAATAAAGAAAATAAGACAGGAATTTCTGTTTTCAGGATTTTGCCTGATTTGGGGGCCTTTGTTTCAGGGTCTTCAGGCTTCACATTGTACAGAACAAATTAGATTCCAACATGTCTGTAGTAAAGAAAATAAGACAAGGATGTCTGTTTTCAGGATCTTGCTTGATTTTGGGGCCTTTGTTTCAGGCTTTTCAGGCTTTACATTGTACAAAACAAATTAGATTCCAACGTGACTAGGTCTCTGCATGATAGTTGAATTCAACCTGTTGGTGTCTCTGATAATGGATTAAGATTTATAGAAGGTCACATGACTCTGTAACAATATATATTCATTCATGATGATGTCAAAAGGTATTTAAGACATGATAGAAAAGATAGAAATATATTGTGATGTAATTTTCATTTTAACTAATACAACTATAGTTATCACGTTGGAGATGATTTTATATTCATTTTCTCTTGCAATTCCAGTGGGTTTAATCCGTATTTCTGTCTGGCATAGTATTCAAAGGGTTTAGAATATTCCATAACTTCATTACCCATATACATTGCTTATAGAGACCGTCTCTATTATTTTTAATTTTATATGTATTCAAAATCTGTTTCGCAGCTTAGGCTGAATTGTGAAATTTTATACAAAAATTAAAAAAATGAACATTCTTGGTCAATTGTATAGTAAGTGATCGATGAAAATTTGTTGAAATTTATTTTGTTGTATTTGTCTTGTCCTCAGGTATCTATGAAGAGTTTTGTCTACCATACCACCCCTGGGTACCAATGGACCCTCCCATTGATGATATGAGGAGGATAGTGTGTATTGAGAAGAGGAGACCACCGGTTCCTAACAGATGGAACAGTCATAAGGTAAGTTCACTTCCTTTGATATAGGTAGGTCAAGTCCATGGATCCGCACGATTTGAAAGGTTATGAAATCTGCATGTGATCATTTACTGAGATGGAGGAATGATGTAAATGTTTTCGTCAAGTTTAAAAGAGAAATTTCTTCTGGCTCCTTTGAAATAACACTTGCTGCTCGTATGATACAAATGCTACTTTTTTATACAAAAGACTGTTTATGGACTGTTCCTTTTATTTGCCTTGCCAATAAGCATTGACAGCTCTTTCTGTATTCTACTCTTCCTGCATTTCCAAGCATCTCTGTTCTGCTGCTGTGTCCATTCCCTTACTATATGTTAATTTCTGAGCTAACGAAGGATGCGATTATGTGAAAAAAAAATGTTGACTGCTTCTTGTTTGCATCACGGTAAAAACCATGGCCCTCTGCGATCTCGAAACTGCTATATGGTCACCATGATTTTCCAGAGCCTCTCCAGCAGTAGTTCTACAAGGAATAACTTGTATTTGTATTTCTATAAGGAATAACTTGTATTTGTATTTCTATAAGAAATAACTTGATAACCCTCATGCTTCTATTCTGATCCCGACAGATCATGGAATCTTATGCCAAGGTGATGAAGGAGTGCTGGTATCAGAACGGAGCTGCCCGTCTCACCGCACTCCGCATCAAGAAGACCCTGGCTGGTCTGATGGGACCTTCCGAACCAGAGGTCCTACTCCCACCGGCAAACATGCAGAATACCTGTGACGCCTCGCAGAGCGGGGACGACCTCAAGGGGAGGCTACCCCCCTCGGCCATCATCCCTACCTCGCATCCTCCCAATGTTCCTAACCCCTACCCCATCCTCAGCTAGTGGGGGGTCCATCCAACCGGCAACCCTCTTGGAGTCTTGGTGAAGGATATCCGCAACGAAGGAAAGAGAGCTTTCCCTAGCATGCAGACATTGGAGGTGTGTTGTAGGACTCTATGTTTTCAAACGTAAGAACTGTGCAAGTCACCGTAAAGAGAACATGGGGAAGGAGACAGTGAATCCATTATATCATTAAAGTGCACCTAACAAACAAGCGTCAAAGTACAGTTTTTCGTGTGCACTTTACGGGCAAGGGTGTGGAGAGAACTACAACCAATGTCCTCATAACAGATCACTAACATTCTGTGATTAAGATGACATTTTGTGTTCCTTTGTTTTCATATTGTGTCAGTTCTGAGGTATGTAGAAACTACCTGATTTAATAATTTAATGAACCTATTAAAAAAGACACTTTTAATTCATTGCGGGAATCATAATTATATGTTCAGACCTTGATTGGTGCTCAGGTCAGCCTTGTGAAAGAAATTTAATCTCGCTGGTATCGATCATCAAATCTTCAGGTCAGCTCTTAGTGACTAATTCCATGTTAAACAAAATGACTTAGATCAGGATTCAGTGGAATAGCAAAGTTGCAATGCTCTGGATGAACAGTAGCTCCTGCATACTTCACCAAGGAGATGGGCATCATGGAAAAGACTGAGGTTGGAAAGTCTTAAATGAACGTCAGCGAAACGAGGAATTGGAATTCATTGTGTTTCAAGGAGGCAGTTTATGGAGCAAGAGAGTATTGGTTTCATGATGTTCCCGAAGACGAGCAGAAAATGGTTTGTGACATTTGTCTGAGGAATGATCCTGGTCAAGGGATTATCTTATCCTGATACGAGAGAAATCTAGTATGTCTTGTTAAAATCATACAAATGAGCTGCCAGGTAAACAACAAGTTGTGGAATATGAAAAAAAAAGTCATGATGAGGACTATAGCACTGGAATTCTTACGAGGCAGCTTGTATGTTTGAAACCCCAGAAAGAGCTCCGTATATTGGGTCATCTGAAAAGGAATCCATCAGATATCAAGAGACGGTTGTGTTTGAAATGCAAACATGCACCGTGAAGAGGAATGTGAAACAACCTGGTAATCGGGTTATCAAGATAGGATCACCTTTAATAAGGGAAACCCCCTTTTCTTTTCTAGAAGTAAATGTTTGAGACAGAAGTTAGATTGTGACATGTAAACAGGGTTAGCACCATTCGGATGTCTTTGAGAAAAGATGGTTTCTGGCCGTGAGGACGATGGTGAGACAAGACTGGTAAAGGAGAGACACCAGACAGGCTGCCAGGAGACACAGGCGGCACCATTGCCACGATGGGTGACAACGACCTAGGGGTCAAACTCTTCATCATAAAACCCATCTAATCAGGAACCCAAATAGCATGATACCTCAATTTGCAAAAAAAAAAAAGTAGTCTTAGGATGATATCTTCTGTTACTTAACTCTACCTGTTTCTGTAAGCAATGTACGCAGTGCTAGGTAAGCTATGTATCTTGTAGTGGAAGGGCCTCCATTTCTTTGATTGGTAGTTAAGTAAATCTTTGAAAGCACAAGTAATGTGTAAAAGGTAGTTTTAGCTAAAGAAACTTCCATAACTTTTTACTTTGTAGGTAGCGCCAACAGAACGGCAAGAATATCTCAGGTTTTCAAAAATTAGGAACGTAGCTCAATCATTACTAGTCACTGTATTCATGTTAGTATTACTAATCAAAGCTTAGTGCAATTAAGAATATAAACCTAAAAAGTTATTAAATTTCTGTCAAAATTGAACATTATTGTCCTGAACTGCATCTTGAAGCAAATTGGCAGGATGAGATTGAAATGGGAAGCTGGAAGAATGCAACTTTGTGGTCTCCTTTTCTGGTCCAGCTTTTAAGTAAGCTGTGCCTTGATCTCAGAAAAAGCAAAAAACAAAACAGTATCAGAAAATCTGGCATTTTGTTCACTTCTTACAGTTATATGTGGGATGGAAAAGGGGAAAAGGAATAATGTTATGTAACGGACAATGCAATTGAAGGCTGTAATCTGTACCTACTTGTAAATATCATTTTTGCAGGGTAGTATACAGTAACTCGGCTGTGACTGTCAACCCAAGGCAGGTGTGGTTGACCATTGATAATTGAGACCTTGATATTCTTAGTAGTGTTTGTACAGATCTCGAGGACTGTGAAAGCATGCAGGATCAGGTTGTATATTGGGAGATTCAAAAACGTGTAGCGAATAGAGAAACAAAGCATAAATGTACTGTTTCATTTTATACATAAAGTCTGTATATAAATGTTATGTGTATGACATGTTCAGTATGAAGATATTCATTTCGCCATTCTCAATGTGATAATGCTGTACATAGCGCCACTTGTACATAATGGAATATTGTAGCCAACCCATGCTCTAGCCTGTCCTCATGGTATAGCGTATCCTAAAATAATTAATATTCAATTGTATTAAGGCACTCTGAATGGATGTGTATATATATAGAAATGTTGCTCATTATGTTGTTCATGGCTGAAAATTAATGATTTTGGGGGGACATTGCGACCAAGGTACCCAGAGTGCTGGATTGAAAGTTCTATCGAGTATGTGAAATTGCAGCACCCATATTTGTTTTGCATGAATCTTTATGGTATACACATTACACTGTATGTGAATGTATGTTGTTTATGCTACCTTATATTCTCCTTCTAACCCTCATTGTGTCATTCTCATTGTGGAAAGTAGAGTTTGAGATTCCTGCTCAATAGGGGTTGTGCACCACACATCATTGTACTGCTCACTGCATCAGTCATACTCAGCTAACCAACAGTAACGCAGGTTAGTGTAAACGTGACTTCCGTTAAAAGAAGTGTTTTCAATGTGACAACGTCAAAAAGGGAGCTTATACTGATGTCCAAAGAGATTGATTATTCTTACAAACTCTGCGGCCCATATTCTACTAAACAAGGTAAATCCAGCACTGGCTTTAATCTTGGTCTGATTCATTTTAACCAAGTGAGAAGTTGGACTGCTGTTATAGTAGTTGTGCTGAACTGCATCTTGATGAACGTGTTTCAAGTGCTTGGTTTTTACTATTCAGGTGTCAGGTGTCACTAGAAACACACTTAAGATGGAACAGCTGCAGCCTCCTCTTTAGCAACTCTCATGCTGTGTTAATCATGTAATAATTACTGTGTACTGGTATAAAAGTTGAATCACTCATTAAATCATGGCTAGATGTTATAACTGCAGAGAATATTAATCATAGTTAAATCATGGTATTGTGTAAAAGAAGAAAAACAAAAGGAAATTGAAAAACCATTGGGTTTTATTTGGGGAGGTAAATATCCAATTGCTGGTATCGCAAATACTCTTTGTGATGTAGAGCCTTATTTAATTTACATACTGCTGAGCACAGTAAAGGTAGAGAATCTTTCCTTTTACTCCTATTCTTGCTCCTATTTTCTTTGACTTTCATTCTCTGAATCTTCTGTCTGTCTGTCTGTCTGTCTGTCTCTATCATAGTATCAGTCCCTATCTTTCTGTGTCTCTCTGTCTCTCTCTGTCTACCGTATCTCTCTCTGACTTTGTCTTTCTGCCTCTCTGTCTGTCTGTGTATCTCTCTCTCTCTCTCTCTTTGATTTTATTTTCCCCGTCCATCACCTCTGCCAATGGTAATAATCTACCCAACAATGTTGAATATTTCTTCATGTCAACATTCTTAACCAAACTGTGGTGATGCTTTTCTTATGTAACAGTAGTAGAAGTGTCAAGTACATATAAGATGCATATCATGTTTATTTTGTTGTGATTTTGTGAGCTGTATCATGTTCTAGGCTAATATGAATGATTATGTGATTCTGGTCTGGCTCTGTTTACAAAAGCGATTCTATTGATGTACCACATTGTTAAAAGTTCACCTGCAGAAGGGCATCAAAGCACCTATAAAACATTCATGTGCCTAATGTCTATCTGTCACTGGAGGACGCCTTTACAAAATCTGGGTTGTGTAACACAAAAATCTGCAAACGATTGTTAATTTGAATCATCCATTCTGATTGGTTCTGGGTCAGATATTTAAACAAGATGTCCATGCAACAACGTTCTTGATTGGCTACTGCTACGTTGCGGTTGATTGCAAATCTTTGCGTCACACACCTCAGACGTGCATTTAGTACGTACATACATTTAGACCCTCACTGAGGATATAAAGATGAATCTTACTAAACAAAAGTATTAGTAAGATGGATTTCTTTAAATCCTCTATGTTCTACTATGTGCCCTTGTGCAAGGAGAACTTCTTGATTCAGTGTGAATATGCTCTTGTGAATGGTAGCCTTGTAAACATGATGTTAAAATTATATGTGAAGTATGTATTTACCGATTGATGAAGGTAAATACCATCTTAATTAGTTTTTGTCCTCTTCCTTGTGATAATGATGCTGCATGCAAACGGTGTGGAAAGAGAGTAGATGAATTTTAAGACAGAAGTGAGACAGACTTATCTCTCTATATTTTAAGAAATGTTATTTTTTTATACATTATTCTGATGTAGACTGGGCGATTCTCCTTTTAAACATCAACGGCTGCATTGAATAAGTGAATTAGGTTGGTTTTGCTCTTAAGAGTTTGGTCAACCATTAAAACAGTGTGTGTGTCCAATTTTAGTTTTGATCAATACAGAAATACGCAGTCTACTACTGCTATTTTAAACTTCTACCGCCACAGTCAGTAACAATGGGGTACTTGGAGAATGTTGTTCACTTTATGATTGTTCTAAATCGTGGTATAAATTTTTAGAAAAGTGATATCTACAGCCTTTATCTTATAAATGCTACTTGTTGAATGGTCTTCTTTTTAATTCTCATTTTAATTCATATAATATGAGGACCATTCATTTGTGTTAAAGTGAAGGTTACTTTGGTTAATAGCCTCCTATTGTAAAGTCACTGCTGTGGGACTTATTAATGATTTAAAGTTTTAAGGTTGTTTATAATATGAATTAATTTAGATTCTTTTTGTCTCTGGTTTTGTCAACTCATTGGCAAAAAGAAGAAGAAGAAGAAGAAAATAGCCTCCATCTCTAAACTGCTTTAGGATCATAACCTCAGTAAAGGTAATATAATGAAGAATTCATTAACGATTTTCATGTACACTATGGATTATCTAAGAAAGAAGTTTATGAATGTTATAAACAAGAAACTGATCAAATTTTCTCTATCAAGTGTTATTGATTTAAAAAAAAAAGTATATCACATCCTTCGTAATCCTTTTTAAAATTTTGGTTAAAGTTATTAATCCAGGCCAAAATGCAGAGTACTTTAACCTATTGCGTACAGAAACTGGGTGGTCCTTGTAATAAGCCTATGGGAGTTTGAGAATCCAGCAGTTAACAGGTTAAGCTTGTCGGCTGTATGGAGTTTCAAACTCAGTGATTGGAGGACAGACCATTCAAACTTCGTACCATACTGATAAATTGTTTCCTAGTGTTTTATTCTTGTATTTTTTAAGGGATGTGAACATACAGTCCTACCTAAATTCCCCCAAAGGAGTATCAAAACTCTCTTCTTTAAAACGAAGGACCAGAAAGTATTTTTATGTTGACCGGAGAGCAGCTGGAATAACGTTTAATGATGAGAGGGCTTAATTGTGATGAAAATGAAACTACGCAGCTGGAATATTGGAGCTATGCACTGGCATCAGAGCTCTAGAAACAATAAAATGCATATTTTGCCTTTTTGTTCTTCTTCTCTCGAGAAAGAAATTACAAGAAATTTTTTAGCAAGATTTAGAATTTACTATTTTAGATTTCTTCATGTTTAGTGTATTTTTTAATTTCAAGATATTTAATGATTCATTGCTGTATAAAGGACGAGGTAGTATTTTGAATGTTGTGAATAGTTACCTTAATTGACCGATTTGGTTTATTTTTTGAAGTGACAGTGATTTTATTACTGGTTTTCATCTATACCTGCTGCACAGGCGCAGGATTGATTTCATATTGAAGTTGGATTTGTTGTTATACATGTGTGTGTGTTTGGGGGCAAAATACAAAGGTTGTGATTGATTTGCTGTCTGTATTCAGGGGCCGGAAAGGCAGTCCTTTGTGTAGCCTCTTGAATGTATAATCGCATGCTTGATAGCTTATAATGCTCGGGATGTACTCTCTCTCTTTATGAAAAATTGTAACGCATGACTGTTCCAGAATACCAAAATACCCCCTTTATTTTACAAAAAAGAGATAATTTTAACAATGACCCCCTCCTCTCCCATTTAACACGAAAGCTGATAAAATGTAAATTGCGAAACACCCCTATTTGAGCATCTCTAAGAAGATTCATGTTTTCAGAAGCCTAATTTTTTAGTATTTCTAGGAGGCTCGGGTATCTACTTCCCTAGAGCACTCATGAATTTTGGATTTCACATATCACACAGTGCGGCCTCAAACGGTGAAAAAGGTGTCTCTTATGAGGGGATTTTGGACCAGTCATGCATACACAATTTGACATTGAGTGAGCAACCTAAAGCAGAGTGCCGTAGACCATACGAGCTTGCAATTTATACTTTAGATACTTGTCTTATCCTCTGCGCAGCAGATATCCATTCTTTTTTTAATCATTGATGAATGATTTTGTTTTAAAGTAGCCGTTGTATATTTCACTCAATATGTTAGCACATGTACACATGGTAGCTGCTGTTTTGTGATTCATACAAAGCTTTTTCTTCTTTACAGAAAGAAAAGATGAAGAAAAAAAAAGATAATCTGTGCCATAGTGTAGGTCGTGTAGTACATGTACTAGAAGTTTAAGTATATATATATATATATAATGATACCAAATCAAAATTGCGTAATCGTTAGTATGTTTATGTAGAGCTTTAGCATCGGAGAGCGATGCGTATATGATCTTTTTATCTTGGAAAGGTTCAAGGTTGTATCTCTAGATAGTAAAGGAATAATCATTGGTGAGCTTAGAGAATGGACAGCGATTTAAAAAAAAAAGGAAAAAAATATGTATTCATGTATCAAATGTACAAAGAATTATTGACTTTCATTTTAGATAGCTTTGTGTGTTCTGTCCATATCTTGGCACTATGGACCATTCTAAGAACGTGTACTGGCTTTAGAATGTTTAAATGGTAGCATGCATTGTATAAACAAAGACGATCTGTATACCGCATTTGTTATTGACATGTACATACACTATGTGTACCGGTACCTTTCATTACCTCTCTTTGTGTACCAACTATGACGACGATGATGTCAAGAGTTCAAAATTTACCTGTTGGAGTTAGTCAGTGTTAATTCAAGCAAGGGTAGGGGAAGGGGGTCGTATTTGGCACAAAAGTTGTTGATTGCTGAATAATTGAATCTAATGGGCATTTTAGTTCCAAGTATATTAATATTTTCAGGATGATTTGGTAAAATACAGGTGTTCATGTTTATCTTTTAGTCAGGTCCTAAAGAGCCATTTTTGTTGTTGGGAGTATGCATTCAGGTTTTTATCAAAATGTAGTTTATTTTATCATGAGTTTACATCAATTGATTCATAAGAAAGCATTTCAGTTTAGTAAGGTCCTGGGAAGCCACTTTTGTTTGTTGAAGTATAGAGTATGCATTCAGGTTTTTATCAAATTGTAGTTTTATTTTGTAATGATTTCACATAAATTGATTCGTAAGAAAGCATTACAGTAAAGGAGTAAGCTCATGATTTTGTTTACCAATTGTCAATGTTGTCATTAAACTTGTCATTGTTGTTTGTGTGTTCAGCACATTGTGTAAACACTATGTATTTTTGTATCCTGTTTATCGCTGTGTGTTGCAATGGTATCGTCCAATAAACGATTCACTCATGTTATGAAATATGCGTATGTCGTATTCTTCTTATTCAGTTTTCATGTTGGTACATATTTCATGGAAATAATACCATGGTAAATTTGTTAAAAGGTTGATTTTATTTACAAGTTGAGCTGAAAGATGTAGATAACAACACCAGCAAAGTTATGTTGAGTTTTACAATTATGGCAGAAAGTCAAGAGGAAATTTTTGTTTTTTGTAGATGAAGTTATTTTGATAATTCTTTGGAGAAGGGAGGGGAAGAGAAATTTGAAAGAAAAAAAATGATTTGGGAAAGTGTTAGACAAACATTTTACAAAAGGAAGGTCAATGTATAACCATTGATTAATTGCATAATATCAATGCAATGTGAATGATGTACAAATGATAAATGCATACATGCCAACTGTTCAGATTAAAGAGGAACATTCCTCTTTTTGGGAGAAGATAATTATCATTTTAATGCAGGTGTTCCTCTTCCTGTACAAATTTGTCTGTAGTATTGAATAGGAGAGTTAGGATTGTTCCTCTTTTTTTTGAAAATAGCATAATTTGTACAGATTTCTGATTTTCAAATGTTGGCATGTATGTAAATGGATCTCTGCTCTCTTTACTGGCATGATGCCTAGTTGTCGAACATTTCTTTATTCAACGATAACAAGAACAGAGATAAATCCAATTTAAACATAGACGGCAAAACATAGAAGATCAGAAAGAAAACGGAGGAGGATGCTTCAAATCCACTGCCCATCCTTTGGTCTGTCTCAGTCGTTCTCTTTCTATCATTCTCTGATACTCTCATTTTTCTGTCCGTTTTATTTTGCAATAGGGGTGGAGCAAATATGATCACCTCATCATACTCCTAGTTACGCAATGGTCGTGATTCCCCCCAAAATATGAAATAATATGAAGAGAAAATGTTGTTCTAAAATAAATACAAGCAATGTATGAATTTGATATAGCGTCATCTGCGTTCTGATTGCGAACATTCAAAATATCAATAAAGTGAAAAGCTACGCTCGAATAGAGGTGAATGACTTCACCCTCTGGAACAATGGATGCGTCGATTTGACTTCGCAACATGGCTGGGAGGATACTTCAAGGCGGTCGGTTGATTGTTTACCTCTCTTAAACCACCTTGTTTTCCCCACGTGCAATTGTGTAGCTTGTTAGGAAGTCAACGATGGAAGAACTTGATACCAAATCACGGAAATATTTCATTTTTAATCAGTGATTTGGTCTGCAGGTTTCATCTGGAGCACTTTTGGATCTGTCCGTCCCGTTCAAGCCTTTCATTGACTTGGCATCTTTTCTCGAGTTTGGCGGGGGTGAATGGACCCTAGGCCCGCAGCTGCAGGGGCTGTGTAGGGGTGGCTAGCGCTGTGCTGGGGTTTCGTGCCTGGCTTGGTCGACTGACATTCAATGCAGTGTTGAGGCTAAAACGCTGCTGGATTTTAGTGAACAAAGGACATTTGCAGAGCGGATTGTAAAGGAAATTTCAAGCAAAATGCCGCTTTCTTTTGAGAGACGTTGGAGCTTGGATAGAAGGTATTTTTGTTTGTTTGTTAATTGAAACAGGGTCTAGAGACCTCGATCATATCTCATTATCTGGCCTCACTCCCCTTTCATCGTCTAAAATCTAAAGACTATACATTTGAATACCTGTCCAAAATTCAGTAATCTTTATCCTTAGTTTCTTAACTTTGTATTTTGTGGTTAGAAAATGTCTGTAAATGAATGGATTGAGCCAAAATAATTATGCTTAATAATTACGATAAATAACAGGTGGTGGTGGTGATGGTGGTGATGGGTTTGGGGGAGGGGGCGGGGTATTGTAATGATGTGGGTTTTTAGTTGTCGTGGTAATGATGATGAACTTGTATTTTGTTGAGGGTGGAAATAGATTTTCCATAAACAGCTGCAGGACTGAATGAATTCCCATATGAGTATTATTCCCCAAAAAATATTGTTTAAGAAAAGTGAAAGATTAGCACTTCTACTCTATTTCAAGTTCTCACAAATTTGAGTAATGTTTTTTTGTGTGTGACATTTATGGGAATTTCCCTGATTGTCTGAAGTAAGTGCAGAAGGATGAATAATCAGTGATAGAATATATGTGAAGAAGAAAAAAAAAGAAAACATATATTGAGAAAGATAGTGGTTTTACTATGAGAACAGAATATTGAAAATCAGTAGGGCCTACATGATGGACATTGCCATTAGAAAGTGCATTCCAAATCTGTAGTTTATCTTTATGATAAGCTGCCTATAGCACTTGGAAAAAAGGAAAATGTTTCACAAATGTTGGTAATGGGTGAACAGAAAGGAGAGAGAGAGAGAGATATAGAGACAGAGAGAGAGAGAAGAAGAAGAAGAAGAAGAAGAAGAAGAAGAAGAGAGAGAGAGAGAGAGAGAGAGAGAGAGAGAGAGAGAGAGAGGGGGGGGGGGGTGGGGTGGGAGAGAGAACTAAAATGTAATGAAGAGAATGGACTTATCAGTTATGATTTATAAAATGTAGATGACATTTATTCTTGCTCAACTAAATCTGATTTTTTAAATATCTTTTGAGTGTGCATGTTAATGAAATGATTTTTGAGGAACCTTGATCTCTCCTCAGTCCCCAACAAACTGTCACAATATTCTACAGTGTACATTATCTTGCTTGCTACAACAAGCATTCATAATTCATGTCAATATATAATGTCTCTGTCCACCTCCTTCTGCATTCAATGAATATAAGAGTGGATCTCGAGTATCCCGATGCTTGTACAAGGTTGAGCCAACCTTTGCATGAAGAGCTGCGGAGGATTGAAGGAAAATTGGAGCACAAAATGTACTTGGTAATGAAGAGCATTGGTCCCATAAGATGAGTCATCTCTGTCGTAGGGAGGAGGAAAAGCCATCGTGGCATGTTCGATTTAAAGCCAGTGCCATGGAATTTCACATGTACATGTATGTTTTCTGACATATGTTTTTATGTGTGTAGGAGTAAAATCCATAGTATGTAAAATTGTAAATGGGAGGTTTTATATTTGGGCATCTATTTGTTATTAGGATATGATCAGTAAAATATAATGGAATACACAAAACTACAGTCCCACAAATGCTGGAAATTCAACTTGAAGCTGCTTTGGGCAAATTGTATGCTTTTTGGCTGTTAGATATCCATTTTCTTCAAGCCCATATATTTCAGACTTGCTAAATGTATTTTTTGCCTGGATACTTTCTTTTTTGCTCCAAATCAGAAATATTGGGTGAAAAACCATTGCATCGCATACCAGTATTATTTTCTGTAAGATACATGTACACACAATATGCTCAGGGTATTTATAAAACATTTGAGACTTTTAAATATTTTATTGACAAGAAATGGGAATTCCAGTAAAATCAGCTTTTTTGACAATTTTGATACCATTATTTTCCTTTGCAATTAGACTTAACATTTAGGGATTATTGATAAGCCTGATATCAAGATAATGCATCACAATGTCCAAGTAAATCTAATCTGATTAGTGCGACATGTAGATTAACTGTAATTACATTTCAAAATTGCATCATGAGGCCTACTGCATTGTTTTTCAAATGTGAAAGGGGAAGAAGAACAATTTATCATTTATATCATAACATAATTTAATGAAAATTCCCTCAGAAAATCATCAGCTGCACAAGTGGACATGTGTTGTAAGATCTTCCCTGTAATTGTAAGACCTTCTCTGCTCCAAACCAGATCAATTGAAATTGAATTTCTTGGAGTCAGATCGGTTTGGTACAATCTTGAGCAAGGATAGTATCAGCAGAAAAGAGAGAAATTGCTTGAATAATAAGTAGTAGCCTCAGGGTGATTCTAATCAATCTGGGGAAATGAAAAAATATAAACCACAAAATTGTTGGAGATCTCTTATTTTGAGGTTATGATTATCCTAAATTTATGAAATACAAAATCTTGATTACAGCATCTTTTCACCAGAGTTTGAATAGTTAACGTAACAAAAAAATGTACATATACTTCGTCCCTATTTTCACGAAGTGACGTTAGTGAGGAAAATCTTAACGCAAAGTGAATGCAATTTTTTTTTCACTTCGTGAAAACAGCGACGACTTGTAGGAATGCTTGATGAAAGCTGTGGCCTTTTTTTTTTCAAGCCCAAGATGGCTATTCTGGACTTTTTGTCAAAATTATGAGAAAAAAATGCTGAAATAAGCTCTTCTCCTTTCTTTGCAGCACTGATTGCTAAGATACAAATACATATTTCATTGAATATATATGTACTGTATAAATTTTAAAACTCAATAAATGCATTCAAGTGGCAAATCTAAACAGAATTATAAGGTTAAAACCGATGAAGCATGCATGATTACAAAATTGTACTTATTGTCCATTTGAAAATGTTGTTTGCTTATAGCCTAAAGGGTGAAAAGTATTAAATCTGGCTGCAGAATTAACTGCATTTGAAACTAAATAGAACTCATATACATGTAATTATTTGCAGTATTAGCCCTGTTCTGGCCCTCTAGTCTTAAAGGTACTGTATGTCCCATTTGCAGGCCCAAAAAATGAAAAAGTTATATTCCAACTGCATTTGAAAGATAATACTAATTTAGAACTTCCCTAAAAAAGGTGGGGCTTGAAAATGTCTTCAAGTGGGAAAATAATGACTATTAGTTGTCAATTCGACTTTAGGGCTATAGAGCCCAAAAGTAATAGTCTTGATTTTCAGACAATTGTACCGAATGGTCATACGTTTTATGCTGCGCAAAGATTCAATCAGTTTAATCTTGGCTATCACAAGAAGTGGGTTATTGATGTAGACAAATGCTCATGTACCCTTTACAACTCTTTTCATGTATGTTATTACCAAAGAAGAAAAAAGCCAGTCAGTCACTCAATAGTGTCTGACAGTGAAGTCTAGCCAGTAAACGGGTTTCCTTGCATAATTTGAATATGAGGACACTGCTAACGTTTAAATTTCACAGATAGGACATACATGACATATTCATAATTCCTGCAAAGTTCTACAGAATTTGAGGTTGGCTGCAAAAGGGACATGGTACCTTTAACAGATAAAATGTTACTGAACCATAGGCCTATTCTACTGATTTTAATGTTTTATGGTCCATTGGGCAACAGTTGCCCCAAGTAAGGTCAGGGAATATTACACAACAGGGTTTGTAACTTCAAATCATAAAGTACGACTTTGAAAGTCAAGGTCAGTAGTTGTTGTCACCCTGACTTGGAAGTGGAAGTTCACTGGCCTAATCTCGTTTAGATCCGACAATCTCAACGGACTAACTCCCTCATCTGGAAGTCATTGTGAGTAAATTAGGAAGTAATGGGGTATGCAGGGAAGCCACTGCAGATGTGTCCGAACCTAGCAACAAGATTTTTACAAATCCTGCAGAACCCGGAGGTAGAGAAGTGATAATTAGAGCTCAGGGAATTAGGCTACATGACATGGCATTTCCATTGGTCTTGTACCTGTCAAGATATTTGCAGGAAATTTTTTAATATGTTCTGACAACCTAAACAAAGATTTGCAGAGTAAATTCTCAATAAGAGGATGCAACTGAAAATAACACTTTGCCTGTTTGCCAGTTGGGTCAGCAAGGCAGGAGGTTTGTTGTTGCTAAGCAAAGCAGCACTGATGTTACAAATGTTACAAAGAACAATCTGTGGAACAATCTGCTTGAAGGTAATACAAAGTTTTGGTAAATTTTGAAAATTGGGTGGATAGTGAATCTTTACAATTTTGATATATTTGGATGCCCCTGGGGATGAATTATAAGCACTAAAAAAATTAGCCCCTAAAACACTTCTGTTTTCGAGAAAAATTAAATATACAAATTTACCGGTGCTCCCGTTAAATTTTGATGAATTTCAAATAGCGCCTATGGCCGTACAATGGTAGCTGCGACCATGAAAATCTCAGAATATGTTACAGTTGTGATATATAATTTCCAAACGGGAATAGCTAATCGGTCGAATTTAGTCAAGAAACATTGTTTCATAGCTAAATTAATATCTTGACCTTGAGAGGGAGCTATACAACATAAAGAGTTTATATTTATAATTTCATAACTTTAGACTCAATTTCAACGATCAATGAATATTGTAGGAACGCATATGCTTCCAATATGTTAATTTGAACCAAATTCATGACCCCATACCAAAACTTTGTAATACCTTTAAGATATCAAAATGATAGATAAAAGTAGTCATTCATGGAAAAAACAATTTTTGAGATGCTTATAAATATCTACCAGGAACACAAAACTGGAAAATGATAAACTGACTAGAAAAAAAGGATACAAACAATGTACATGTAACAATTACCCTTTTTCAAAAATATAAAAGCACATTTTCATTAGACAATTGGCTTGTAAAATCATTTATTTACTTACCTGGACATTTTGATTCAGGTTTTTCAAAAAATATCTTTTATTCAATTCAATTCAATTTAATTCAATTCTTTTATTCATCCAAATTCACAAGAATACATGGAAAATTGTTTTGGTCACACATTATAAAAATATGTAATATATATATGAGA